AGTTATCTATAAAAAATAATTAAATAGTTCTACAAATAAAAGATTATGGAATGTTGGTGTAATTCATAAGAATAATTTGGTTAATTAGGCTTGTAATGTAAGAGTAGTCTGATAACACCCACACAATTTAATGTGATGACCCAGACGAAGCTGTAAAATCTAATTCACTTTCATCGTTTAGTCTGAAATATGATTAAATTGTGTTAACATATGTATTTAATGTGATATCATCGATACGTAAAAAGTGATTAAAAAAAATGTGCGATTAATTCTGGATATTTTCAATCAAACAGGAGAGGATTCTGTCGGGAAGTTGTGACGTTTTATTTAGTTTGTATCCAGAAACACCAGTACATTACCATGCATTCTAAAACGCAGTTTATGTTTTATAGCACGGGAAATGTCAGTTACTCACTCGTGAGACCTTTTTGTACAATAAAACAGTTTGCTAGGAGACTGTTACGAAGGATCAAATGTGTAACCTGATATGTGCCGGATTCTATGTTCCAAATGACCGACTGATTTGGCATAGTAGAAGGGAAGACCTAATTACAATTAAACTAGCTAACATCAAAGTGCTTCGAGAATTTTAGGTCAAGTAAAGATATCGAGTGTGCCGGCCTCATCGTATCAAAAATATCCACTGGTTTCATTTTCCATGGGGCAGTCAATGTTTTTGCACAGTGTTTGGCAAGCAGTCTTTTTTCTTTGGCATTCGTTACGGTTGTCTGAAATTACCCAATAAATTTGGTGGTAGTTATTATGCTTGTCCGAATAAAGTGAATGACACATCCAAATGTTTAAACCTTACTTCGATTGATCGAATTCATCTAAACTGTAACATATTTACGCAGTTACTTACTGATCCCCAGTTTTTTATACATCGTTTCTCAAATATAGAGCAACAATTATTATTGTTTCCTGAGGATGCAACAGAAAATTGTAAGTGTTGTCAGTTTAGATTGCAATGTTTAATTGGTTGGTGGGTAAGAAAAGTTGTGATGTTTGTACATAATAATGGTTACTTTGTACATTATTGCGCGTCTAGTTCAAATTGCAATATAATACCTTCAAGTGTGTACAGTCATATCTAACTTGAGTGATGGTCCATTCATGACTACTAGAGTACATATTGAACAGATCTTGGTATTGTATCCAGCACTCCTAATCCTACTTATCTTGACCCGACTGTTGTTGCTACCTTGACGTGGTGGTCGGGCTTGCCTATCGTGATGAAGCAACCGAGCTATATTGGCTGGAACAACCGTTCCTCAAGGTCCTACCATGTCAAACAGGTCGGTTGAAGAGCGGTAAGACTAAAAGCAACAAACCCAAGGTTCGAAGGCGAAGTCGTACTGCTGACTGTACAGAGGTGTGACAGCAGTAAGGTGTTTCCTTCAGACAACCCGCATGACAACGATGCTGCCTTCCCACGAGGGGTGGGGTTAGAAAATGTCAACCCTAAAAATGCACACCGCATTATCCCACGGATATCCGTCTCAGGCGGTACGGTCTCAACAATTACGAAGCTAACACGAAAATTAATCAAAAAGGTCGTGTGTGATCGACCTCACTCAGTAGTCTCTTGGGCACTGCAGTCACTCTGTCAGGTCACTAAGACCACGTCTAATCCAATTTCCTTTTCAGGTACCTCTAGAGAAACCCTTCCACGGCGTGGGCAACCGGGAAGTGAAAACCGCTCTCATACCTCTAACAGCACTCAAGACCACTATGTTTATAATCAACCTCCCTCTTCAATTCCTATTATTCCTCCTCCATCGACTTTCGACGCCAAACTTCCTCTTTCGGCTTCCCCCTCAAGTGTCACCATAGCGAACGATTTTAGTGCTCAAAACACTGTCCCAGGCCTACTGAAACCTCGCTCCAAACTACACACTGGAGCCTTCAACGTACGCACTCTATGTCAAATCGGTCAACAGGCTTCTTTGGCTAGAAACCTAGAATCTCGTACCATTAAAGTATGCTGTGTCTCTGAAACACGCATACAGGATCCTAGTATGGTCATTCACTTTACCTCACCTCCGCAAAACGGAGAGCCAACGAGATACACCCTCCGTGTATCTGGTGACCCGACAGCCAGCTCTCGTGGACTAGCAGGTGTGGGCATAGCACTAAGCATGAGGGTGGAACAAGCACTGTTAGAATGGATCCCCGTTAACAGTCGTCCATGTGTTGTTCGGCTAAACGGTTCCGCAAGAACTCAAAAGGATAGGGACACACGTCGTTGCCTTTTCGTCGTTTCTGCCTACGCTCCCACTGACCGCAACCTGGATGAAATGAAAGGCGACTTTTACAGAAAGCTTTCTGAACTTCTTCAAAAAGCTAAATGCTCGAACATAGTACTTCTAGCAGACGACTTTAATGCTCAAGTAGGTAGGTTAAACCAAGCAGAAAGACATTTAGGTGGGTATTCTGGTATTCCAGATCAGAGAACAGATAATGTTGACCGTTTGCTGCAACTGTGTTCAGACGGTCGTTTATTTCTAACAAGCACTGATTTTATGCATAAGGAGACTTGAGTGATGGTCCATTCATGACTACTAGAGTACATATTGAACAGATCTGGGTATTGTGTCCAGCACTCATAATTCTACTTATCTTGAAAAACTGGATACTAAGAAGTTTCTTCTGTTAATTTCAACAAACAGGATACCTCTATGTATTCAGAAAATTAGTTTGGATAGTGCGATGAGAAGACGAAGGTTATTAGAATAGTGTGATATAGTCGCGCAATACAGTTCGAACAGTTTGATTACACATATACTTGGTAAGACTTTGTATACAAAAAATAAAAGGTCGACTAGACAAATGAAAAGGCAAGGGGGAACAAGGTACACGATGTGGAAAACAACGCTTGATAATAAGCCAGCATTACCAGGGTAGGTTAACGGCAAGAACAGATAGTCTTTGAACACATAAAGGGGGTTTCAGTTTTGTTCACAGACATTCAGTGTCCCCAGCTATTTGTAAAACGTGTATGCAACTTCTATCTATCATGAACAACGCAAGAAATATTGTACTTTAACAAAAGATAGTGCCCTCATATCTGGCAGAATGAAACAATGAAACTACATTGTAAACATATCAACTGAGTAGGTTGTAAAATGGACAAATTTCAGAGGTACCGTTAAGAATAAAATAGTTAATTAGTACGGACGGTGTGCTTAATTGGTAATCAATTAAGGAAGTGTATTCGCACCAAAAAACAACATTGGAATTTTAAATAAAATGTTTTACAATCAGTAATGAAAGATTAACAGACTTGGTGAAATTTAAAAGATTGAAGCACTGACAAAACTTAGCAACAAATTAAGTTTGGCTAATTGAAGTAAATACCAAACATAAAAAGTGTAATATGACATAAGTCGCTTTTATGATAAATTTATGATGTATTATAGGTGTAATAGTATGCAAAAGTGTTATTAGTATTGTATATATTTATCAAAGGATACAAAATAGTGTTTATCAAGGTGAAATCCATTAGACAGTTTTACTTACTCTTATGAATTATACCAACATTCCATAATCTTTTATTTGTAAAACTATTTAATTATTTTTTATAGATAACTTTATTATAAATTTCGTGTACTTGCCATGCAATAAATTTTTAACTATTAAACGACTTCATCCATTGAGCACAAACTAAATAAGCTATTTTCCCTGAAAATCAGTGTTCGAAATGAGAACTAGCTCCGAACTATCATAGAGTTTTATATGCTTTGCACGACAAAAGTACTATTTATTTCATAGCTAAACCCATAATACGTGTGGAAGACTTGAATTGTAAACCGTGCTACGAACTAGCGACCTAAATGTATTCAAAGTGAAAATTCCCTTCGATTACCAATCGACCAGTGAAGAACTCTATGGGATATTTTGAGAATATAAGTAGTATTCAAATCTATTCGAAATTTCCGGTGAATGTGACAAATGATTGAGGCGGATTGCAATGTGACCACTTGGATAAATGATTTGAAATTGCATCACACTTCGTTTTGATGTTAGTAGGTTAAAGGTAGTTGAAATTAAGCATTGATTTTAGGTTTTATGCTAGTTGAAGCTCGTCAGCAATCTTGAGGGAAATAAAATTGTGTTTTGAATTTTGTTAACACCTCTCAGCTTCATAAAATGAGACACCATCGTCGATCTGTTCAGGCTGAGACAAGTTTCCGATGAGGCTGCGATACTCGTATTAACTCAACATTACTTATTAATCAAGCTTCTGCTACCTAGGCCTTAGTTCAAACTCGGCTGGGATTGTCTGTTACATAAAATTATAGGTCTAAGGAAAGGTTAGGGCAGTCAAAGTAAATGAATGCATTTGTTCATGAAGTTACTAAGTCCTGGTTTGAACCATGTGGGTGGTTGTAGAACATTTGACTGAGTTCCGTATGATTATCGGGAACAATGACGTACGGCATAAAGTGATATGTGTAAACATCGGTAGCAACTTCTAGGACGATTTCACTGTTTATCTTCCCTTAAATCTTTAGTTTCAAAATTGTCCATTGCGTAAATGAATTTTTCCACTCTAATCATATTGTTTTTTAATACCACTGATAACGCCTCTCTTTTACCCTGGTTTTCACCTCACTACGTTGAGGTGTTGTAGAAACTTTGGTTGATACGCATATGTAACAGGTTCTATGTTTCTTATAAATGACAGACTGAATATTGTAAATGCGTCTTACCAGCGAATGGAAGCTATCACGAGACATAGAAATACGTCAAATGCTTTCAACCAACTGATACGATATCTACTTAACTGATAGAGAGATTTAGCCTTGCTTAAAACTGTTCCATAAAAAACCTAAAAACTTTCACTTGAAAAGACTAGTAATAAGACATTAAAGAAAGGCATAAATACCTAAAATGAATACAAACGAAACTACTACTTAATAAACATCATTAGTAGTAAAAGTACAAAAAAGTGCGTTTATACCTACAACAATAAACTATAACAAAGATGAACTTAGAAATTAAAATGATTCATGTGGTAAAGCAGTTCTTTTAGGGAAAAACGCATGATCTAGTGGAAAATGTAAGAGATTCGTAACTCTTGACGTATACAGTGTTGCATATTGTCCAAGACGTTGTGAAAAATAAGACGGATTATGAAAAGAACGAAAAATACTTCCGAATTGTGGATTAAATACACATTTACTAGCACGTCTTAAAGCATTTCTTTCATCAAGCCACTTTTCAAGTAATAATAGTGCTTCAGCTGTATGAACATGCTGAAAAGGAAAAATAGGTGCGAAATAATATACAACTGTACTGACTTTAGAATTAAATGTACTCACATGATTTTTTAAACTAAACATGCAGTATCAAGATGGATGAACAAGATTTAATTCAATGTTTTAATTTTTACCTATTAACATGTGAAGTTGAATCACAAAATTTTTTATCTATCAAATGCTTTGAATGTTCTCATTCACTAATACAGAGTATTCACTTTTTGGAAGTTAGCCTGACTAGTTTAAGTCTATTAGATATACGATTTAATAAGACTGTTCGTCGTTGTTCAATTGTTTAAAATTATGAGATGACGTTTCAATTAATCTAAGTAGCTTGTTCGATGATAAAGCCATGACACCCGTTAGTACAACAGTCAGTCAGCTACAACGTAGGACCAGGCACATATATGCATCGGTCCAAGTTGCCATACCTCATTAACACAACAAGATGGACACCGGATTCATAAAAGTAGTTAATTCAGTGGTAGTAATATATAAAAGAAAGGTTGCAATAAGGATATAGAACAGGAAGAAGAAATTAGTTCATAGAAAGATATGAAGCAATTTTGATCTTTTAGTTTAAGGGAAGACAGGGAGTGTATACACCGACGCCATTGTGATCGATTCTGAGCCATGTCACCACGAGTCTCCAACCATTGATTACGATAGTCACGCGGACCCCAACCAAGTAGTCTGCATCTACCAACATGGCTCAGACCAGAATTTAGTGACTTCAAGCACTGATGCCACGTTTTGGTTTGGCCGCCCCCAACTTTCTTCCAACCATCCCCAACACCAGTCAGCGTTGCGCATCGTGGTAATCGGTGTTCAGGCATACGTAACAGGTGGCCCAACCATCTCAGTAGATGAAGATTCACAACCTCATCAACTGATTTACCATCATTCCCTAATACCCTGCGTCTAACCTCACTATTAGTTACCCGGTGATCCCAGCAGATGCCAGCAATATTTCTAAGGCATCTGTGGTCAAATACTAGTAGCTTACGAGTAACTTCTACTCTTAATGGCCGTGTTTTGCTGCCGTAAAGTAAAACAGAACGGACTGCCGCGCAGTATGCTCGTCCTTTAATTGATAGACGGATATCTCGCCTTCGCCATAGGTGACGTACGTTAGCAAAAGCCAAACGAGCTTCTCGAATCCGTGCTGAGATTTCGTCAGACACCAATGCATTAGGGTTGATCAGACTTCCAACATAAGTAAAGTTGTCGACGCTTTCGACTACTTCACTCCCTATCCTTGGTTCAGGTGTTAACCCAGGCCAGTCCTGAAGTGACGAAGGGAGAAAAGCGCATTTCGAACATTCTAGCATTGTTGCTTAGTGCTACATAAGACTCTGCATTTTATCATCGTTTTCACCAAACACGACTATATCATCTGCGTATTCTAAGTCGATAAGTGGACCTCCTGATAGGAGATCAATACCCGAGAATCCAGTCGACGACAATGTTATTTCCATCAGTATGTCTATGATGCAGTTGAACAAAAATAAAGATAGTGGGCAGTCTAGACGGCACCATTTGAGGTTGCAAAAGCAGACGACAGTTCGCCATAAGCTCTCGCTCGACTGGTAGTGTTCGAGTAAAGAGCCTTCACAGGGTTTATGTACTTCTGAGGTACGCCTTTCATTGACAGACACTGCCACAGAATATCACGGTCTACGGAGTCAAATGCTGCTTTTAAGTCAAGAAAGACCACCATTGTCGGACGTCGATAAGTATGCCTGTGTTCTAGAACCTGACGAATGGTGAATATATGGTCGATACAGCCACAACTAGGTTTGAAGCCAGCCTGATTTTCTCGTGTTTGCAGTTAGTTCACGAGTCTTTGTTAGACGACTGATAATTATTGAGGATAGTATTTCAGATGCTATATTAGTTAAACTAATCCCTCTATCGTTGTCACAGGATGATTTTAACCCTCTCTTATATATTGGGACGATAAGTGATTGTGACCAGTCAGATGGAATAACGTCTAACTCCCAGATCTTAGCTAAAATATTAGTCAACCTAATCGCTAAAATTGGACCACCATCCCCAAAGACCTCTGGAGTCAGTCCATCTGGACCAGCTGCTTTTCCTCGTTTCAGATTAGCTATAGCCTTTTGAACTTCAGCTAGAGTCGAAGGACCTTCTTCAATGTTCCATTCACACTGTCTGGGAATGGAGGGTAGTTGTAGAGTAGCTGAAGGTCAGCTGAATTGTTCTCTGAAATGTTCCGCCCATCGTTCTAAACGTCTGGACTGAGAGTATAAAAGTGTTGTCTTTTTCCGAAATAGTCTCACTTACACTTGACTTATCGATTCTAGTTTCTTTTGTTTGTCTGGAAAGCCGTTTGATGTTACCTACAACCGCTGCCTTTTCCATCTCTTTTGCTTTCGTTACCCCCCACTGTTCATGGTCATTCCTTAAACTTTTGCTTAACCTAGGTCTCATTTGTTTTCGCTCTTCATCGCGTTCAGAACCTGATGGGATGAGTTTACAAGAATCCATCAGTGCAATCAACCTTGAAAAAATCCATTGAGTTTTTATTACTCTTTGGTTTAAATCACTAACAGATATCACTGTTGTTTCCATGGCTGTTTGTATATCTTTCCATGCAACATCTGGGTTAGCCTCGTTTACAGAACTACCTAATTGTGACCTCAGTTGTACCTGGAACCTAATTTCGGTTTTCTCGCTACTCAATTCAATTCTAATGAGTCTTTTTAGTGTGGCTTTTTTGCGTCCAGTGAGGCGCAAGCAGATGCGTGCCCGTATTATGGCGTGGTCGGAGTCCAAGCAGGTACACCAGAATGAGCGACAATCTTCTATCGACCCTATCCAAAGATGACTGATGGCAATACGATCTATCTGAGTCGATCGTTGGTTTGCTGCAGTGGGTCGCCATGTTAGACGATGTCTCCTTATGCATAAAATCAGTGCTTGTTAGAAATAAACGACCGTCTGAACACAGTTGCAGCAGACGGTCAACATTATCTGTTCTCTGATCTGGAATACCAGAATACCCACCTAAATGTCTTTCTGCTTGGTTTAACCTACCTACTTGAGCATTAAAGTCGTCTGCTAGAAGTACTATGTTCGAGCATTTAGCTTTTTGAAGAAGTTCAGAAAACTTTCTGTAAAAGTCGCCTTTCATTTCATCCAGGTTGCGGTCAGTGGGAGCGTAGGCAGAAACGACGAAAAGGCAACGACGTGTGTCCCTATCCTTTTGAGTTCTTGCGGAACCGTTTAGCCGAACAACACATGGACGACTGTTAACGGGGATCCATTCTAACAGTGCTTGTTCCACCCTCATGCTTAGTGCTATGCCCACACCTGCTAGTCCACGAGAGCTGGCTGTCGGGTCACCAGATACACGGAGGGTGTATCTCGTTGGCTCTCCGTTTTGCGGAGGTGAGGTAAAGTGAATGACCATACTAGGATCCTGTATGCGTGTTTCAGAGACACAGCATACTTTAATGGTACGAGATTCTAGGTTTCTAGCCAAAGAAGCCTGTTGACCGATTTGACATAGAGTGCGTACGTTGAAGGCTCCAGTGTGTAGTTTGGAGCGAGGTTTCAGTAGGCCTGGGACAGTGTTTTGAGCACTAAAATCGTTCGCTATGGTGACACTTGAGGGGGAAGCCGAAAGAGGAAGTTTGGCGTCGAAAGTCGATGGAGGAGGAATAATAGGAATTGAAGAGGGAGGTTGATTATAAACATAGTGGTCTTGAGTGCTGTTAGAGGTATGAGAGCGGTTTTCACTTCCCGGTTGCCCACGCCGTGGAAGGGTTTCTCTAGAGGTACCTGAAAAGGAAATTGGATTAGACGTGGTCTTAGTGACCTGACAGAGTGACTGCAGTGCCCAAGAGACTACTGAGTGAGGTCGATCACACACGACCTTTTTGATTAATTTTCGTGTTAGCTTCGTAATTGTTGAGACCGTACCGCCTGAGACGGATATCCGTGGGATAATGCGGTGTGCATTTTTAGGGTTGACATTTTCTAACCCCACCCCTCGTGGGAAGGCAGCATCGTTGTCTCTAGAGGTACCTGAAAAGGAAATTGGATTAGACGTGGTCTTAGTGACCTGACAGAGTGACTGCAGTGCCCAAGAGACTACTGAGTGGGGTCGATCACACACGACATTTTTGGGAGTGGTTTTCGTGTTAGTTCCGTACTTGTTCCAGCCAGTATAGCTCAATCGGTTCATTACGATAGGCAAGCCTGACCACCATCTCAGGAAGCAGCAATTGTTACTATGGAGAGAGGAGTTGGGTTAAATGTATTTATAGTAAATTAGATTGGCATACCTTGGATTTTGTAAGACAACTTTTTGGTCCGTGTACTTATTAGACATAGCAGTATATATAGTCAAGCATTTCTTTGAAGTTCAAGTGTTAATTAACGTCAATTCAAATTATCTATTTTAAAAAGTATTTAGCATTCTCAGCTTATTAGTTTATAAGTCATAAAATCAGTAATTACCCACCAAGTGCTCAAAGCCAAAACAATTTGATTCATGTTCCTTAATAAATAATAACAACCAAGTTATACAATACTTCCTTTTTAGTAAATTGATAGGTAACATCGTACACTTTCATATTGTTTATATGTCCATCAAACGAGTAAATTCGAAGTTTAAAAAAATGTTTAACCTTTATAAAATTAAATGCAATAAATAAAAACTAGAGCTTTTTTTAAAAAAATGAGGCTTTGATGAGATTCATAATTGTTAACAAAATTAAGTTAATAGGACTATTCAAATCAAATTTACTTGGTTTTCCTGAATTAATCTTTCTAGCATTCTTAAACGTTTTAAATTAATTTTGAAATCATGATTATTCGCAGCAATAAGTTCACTTTCAAGTTCCGGTATAACAGCTCCAGTCATCCAACCATATGTACTGGCTACATCCTAATAAAAATAAAAACAAAATTGATTTAATTTTCAGCATGCTTCTATATAGTAATACATTGTTTATGTGTCAGGAAAGAAAATTTTACTTCATATTTACCAATGAATTATTCGTTCTATGATTAAAGTTAGTAAAGATTGATTGAAAATAAAGACTACAAACGCAAACATGAACAACACTGTTTATTGTATAACTTCGTTTGATATGAAGCGGAAGTTGGATACTGATCCATAATTGAAAATTATGTGACCGAAAAGTTTATTTAGACTAAACTTCCATATAAAAAATGTAGCATAATGAGAAGACAAAGTTGATCTGAAGAAAATGTGATGTACTTGAGCGAGGCATTACGAATAAATTAGGATTATGAACTTACTTTTCAAGGGAATTTACATAAATATAAAGAAAAGTCAAATCAATTAATAGTGATAGGTAAAAATATAAACGATCACAAGAGATAGTATAAAAATAAGAAATAGAAATATCAAATATTGGTGCCATACTTGGCATTAAACAATGGTTAAAGATAATCACGGGAAGTTCGAAGAGAGTACAAATTACTGTTTAAAAACATAAAAGAGGAATGAATTTTGTAATGAGTAGAACTTCTATAAACTGAAGAAAAACTTTTGGCAAATTTTATTTAAGGATTGAAAACTGTTTTAGGTCAACCCTATATTCTCTTCCAGTTATATACTTCGTCGATGGAGGATAATGGTTGTAAATACACTGAATTTATTTGAGTTTGAAACTGTAAGTTTTCATCCATTCCGCCACATATATTTCACCACTCTTAATTGTATAGTTAGACTACTCTATTGTTCATAGATCATACACACACGTTAACTGGTAAATCCAGTGTGATATATGACGCAATCATCCACTCAACATTGAAGACCAAATAAAATCTTTTTTTGCGCAACAATAAACCTGACCAATTCTAGTTTCCGTCTAAAAATTATCTGATTTGACTCTCTTTAGTAGAGCAATGTGAACACGATTCTTCGCGATGGATTGGAAAAGGATTTTAAATTTCTAAATTGACTAGTAACTTGAAAAACTACTTGTTATCAGTCATCAATTCGACGTATACTATACGCGTATTTTCATGGCAGATAAATTTTATGGAATAGATAACTTGCTGGGGCATACGAATAAGAAAATCTGACAAATATGTGAAAACTGACGTCATTCAGAGTTAACACAAGCCTGATCTATATCCCTTACAATCCAGCTATTAGTTTCTGTAGTACCACAGTGAAAATTCAAACCCATAGAGTTGATGAGCTATTATAAGTAAAATGATACAATGAATAAATAAAAGCACTGAATACAGTATCATACTGAAGGCTATAAAAAGTGGACATTACACTGCTAAAGGTAATAATAATTATGAAGGATTATACATTCTTGAAAAAAAGGTTTTTATTTATATGTTCAATTTAATTCATGATTGATGGATGAGCTATGATACTACATACATTCAAGTAAATGGGAGAGTATTGTGAACTACTGTAAGAAATAACTTTAGACAATTTTATAACAATTATTTTAAAAATTAATTATTTATTTACGTAGATAAAGAAGGAAATCTATTGAAGTTCACAAGTAAAGTGGCATTTTCAGCAACATTTGCTAATAACTGTAATGTCTTGAAACACATTAATTTGACAAAATTATGTGTAACTTGAGCTAAGTACTGATTTCTGCTATTGATGAGGATGTTTACTAAGACTGAGAAATACTTCTGCCTGCTAGTTATTGTGACGGAATAAGATTACTTTGTTGACGAAAAGTAGAAAACAAGACTGAAGAAGCAGATTGATTTATTCACCAGCCACTAATTAAACGATATTCCAAATAGTGGTAATAATGAGTTATATATCAATTTTAATGTTTAGTTTATCAATCATCAAATGTGTGCGAACAATTTTGAAAAATTAATAAATGAGCTGGCTTAACCGAGAAATATAATTCCTCACCACATTATATATGTCTCCTTCGTGACAAGAACAATAAATGTTCATAAAAACACACAAAAATACATACATAACAATTACAACAGAATGTATATTAAAAAATTGTTAACAGTTTATTCTGAAACTGGTAAAATGACGCAAGTTACCTTATACACACGATTAAGTTAATGCTGATTATTATATGCGAATAAAAAATAAGGATAACTTATTTTAATAGAAGGAACTCATACACTAATTAAACTAGACGTATGAAAAGTTGTTAATCATGTAAAACAAATTATTTACATAATACAGAAGTTAATATATCATTTGATAGGATAGTATAAGCATAGAGCTGTTGGTCTAACATTGATCAGTTTATGATCTAAAAAAAATCCGACAATCTCCACAACTCTATGCTGATAATTATAATGTCCTTACTGGTAGCTAGCTTCAAAAGTTAATTCTCAGAGTTCTAGTGAGAAGATATGACCAGTGGTGTTCAAACGTTTCGGGTATGGGGCAGTTATCCACCGAAGATGATCGCGCAATATCGTGGATTAGTTGAAGATAGATATTAACACCTCTGGATGCCGGCTCAGTGGTCTAGAAGTCAGGTGTTCGCGCCAGATCGGAGGTCTTGGGTTCGAGTCCCACCGCATGCGGGATCGTGGGTGTACACTGCAGTGTAGTTCCATACTAGGACGAAACGGCTGTCCAGTATTTCTAGGTTTTAAAGGGTGGTATAACATTGATCAGTTATTGATCTCAGTAAAAACTCAATAATCTCCAAAACCTTATAATAATTATTTTGTTTATTTGAACTCTTATTTAATTGACCTTTATTAATTTGTGTATAAAATGCCTTGGCAAGTGTATATGTGTGACCAGGTTGTTCAAAATGTGTAGTACAAATAAATCACACTTTTCACAGCAATTCCGCTTCTCAATGTTCTATCAAAATTTAAGATAATTTAAAAACATCCGACCGTATTGTGTATTGTGAAATCAGATCATGTTAAAATTTATTATGATATAAAAGTGATTGATTAATTAATGACCCTATAATTGTTTAGTCTAAAGTATACAATAATAATTTGGTCATTTCATCACAATTAATATATAAATAAATAGAATTACAATATTATTCTGGATACAAAGTTGATTAAATTCAACAAATCTTACTGCAAGATCAGCATAGACATGATCTCCAAAATATAATATACTAGCTGAAGACCAACCTGTAAGTTTTATCATCTGTTCTAAACAACCCTAGAAAAATAGAAATACAAGCATTAAAATCAAATGTTAAATAGAACTTAAAGGTTAACAAAAAATGGTTTTGTTAAACTGAACAAATCAAAATGATTTGAATCATTTATTGAATATACCACCACTTTGGAGTACTTAGTTATAGTGAAATTAAAGTATAGTTGGTCATTGAGTGTGGACATACAGACGCAACCCACTGACTAGTAAATATGTGATTTCCTCTCCCCATTCATTTCTACTCCAGATTTATTGAGAGTGACTGTTTGTAATTGTGTTGAATAATGTACCATCTGGCGTTAATCTGGTTCTCTACTGTGGATTGTGAATCCTGGACTTGATATAACGTGACTAGCCTCACTATCGTATTAACGTATGATAGTAGAATACATGAGAGAGAAAAATATTTTAAACCATCCGTTATATCATTTAAAGACAATCGGTCGTTTCTTATTAGCTAAAAGTAAACAACCTATTAAACAATTATCACATTTTTTATTTTAAGCATGAAAACAAACACGTTTTACATTGTTTATAAACCTTCATCTATAAATTTCAGTTCATGATCTATGGAAGGAAATAGAAGATGAGGTGATTCTAAATTACTCAAATCATAAACTGTTAATCATATATTCACAGTCTTATCATGAGTTAAAAAGAGACTGATATAAACTGTCTTATGACCCTTTTACGACATTTCCATGTTTAATTAAAACCTTATCGACTAGATTATATGCAGGGATGTCTTGATCAATTTGCTTAAATTCTTCCTTATCTATTTTATTAAATGTCCCCTTGTTCATTATTTACCGTTTAATTTAAATGTATTTCGATTGTGCTGGCCTTGCGTCTGTCATCTATACTTGATAAGTCTTCTCGATTGCACGCTATTTTGTCATATCGGGTCGTCGCTGATTATTATATGGGAATCGCTTATCACTTATATTCGAAAACAAGGAACCACTGCAATCCCCACGACGAGAAAGTAAAAACACAAAGACTGGTACAAGTGAAAATTTATTAACCCCAAAACACGACGATGACTCCAAATGAAAATACACTCATTTATCTATTGATTGTACACCCGCTTTGATTAATAATTAGGATGAAATCACATATATATGAAAAATACAGTTATAACAAATCACATGCTGCATGTCATGCTGTGCATAGTTCATGTCAATTGAACACATGATTATCGTACATTGGGTAATGATCACATTGAATTAAAAAGGAAGTAACGTTGAACGAAAATCATAATGAGTAAATCAATCTAAATTTGACTTTTCTTCCCGTCATATTAATACACTCATTTTCTAAATCTATAATTGATATATTATTCACCTTATTAAATACTAATTCACCCTTTTTTCACTGAGTAGACTTTTTCAGTTTCTCCCGCGAGCCTCTATTCAATTTCCTTATTCACTCATTTAGTTTGTCTACTTACACGAGTGTCTGAAATATGTCCCAAATGCAACTCGTATTCGACCTTTTATTTCTAGGTTTTATTAACATGATTGGTGGACAGAGTTATACATAGTTAAGCAGGCTATATATTTCATTGGCATCAATATCGCTCAATCATATTGGTGTCAACAATAGGCACGAAGCAGCCAGTTAAACGTCGTTCCTCGGAATATTATTATAGTTGGCTTTTACATAGGTTTCTTGATATGTTATTAATAACAAGGGATCCAAGGTCAACAGGAGTGTACAGCTATAAAACAATTCCGAAAAGGGATCTAATGAAATCTCTCTTTACAAACCTGATGTGAATTTCTCAACTAATTGAAACGCAAACAATATCATAATCGAGAGGAGCCCTACCTACATCTGTAGCGTTGGGTTTATTGAACGTTGAATAGCCTTAGGTGTGTATCTTACAAAATTTATTTGACACAAAATAAATATAACAAAATCACATGGAAACCATTATAGATACCTAAATATTGACCAATGTTAATCATTTGAACGATGATGACCAATTAGTTAATGTAAAAGTACAACTGTGACCATTTTTGTAAGATTCATGACAGTGTCATATTGTAAAATCAAAGTATGGTAAAATTAAGGAATTTAAGATAACACAAATAAAAGTTTGCTTCGCATTCGATTCAAATATTGTGCTCTGTTCAGTATAAACCGACAAATTTGGTCAACATTGATTATTATTTGACAAGGACACATCAGGGTCTGTTCAAAATTTTTGACTGCTATTTTTCTAAGCTTGAACATATTGCTATAAAACTTCTCACTTTAAATAAATAATTACTTCTATTGGCTGAATGTACTTACGTGTTACCATAACATCTTTATAATCACTTAACATATTTTGTATCGAGAAACATTTTCTGATATCATATATTGGGAAACGAATATTCAGAATATTATTATTATTGTCATTATGGTGAAAATATATCACAAGTAATTGAAGACATACTCCTTCATATATTTGACCTCGTTTAAATGTTTGAACTGCTTCCCAATGTTTGAAAGTCCCACTGATATCAGTACGTCGAAATTGCCTACAAAATGTTTGAAAATAACTTAAAATTCATGGGATAGGAGATATGACCTAATATTTATAGGATGCGGAATCATGAAATGAAAAAGCTCAGGGATATGTGTTTATGAATCAACCAATAGAATTTGTTTCCCGAAAAATGATGGACATTAATATGAGGAATGCTACGACAAATAACTAGGCCCCACTTCACAGGAAAGATAGGGTCTAAAGTTAGATGATGAGCAGAATGATTACAAAGGGAATTCACCTTCCAAATTAAACCGGTATATGTTTTAAATTATATATATATATATATATATATATATATATATATATATATATATATATATATATTCTCAGACGAAAGACAATATCATATTACACATTACTAATCGCGAAGAATTGGTTCATTCATAAGTACAGATATACTCTTAGTCGGAATGACTACAATTTTAATTTGAACATTTAGAAAGAACATATAAAATGTTGCATAATAATATCATTAAGGCATATTTACATCGGTCTCAGTTAATGAGAAACCTTGAAATATAATGAATTCATGTTATTCAGTAAATCACGTTCGTCTTGTTTTATTTATATTAATCACGACCAGTTAATTTCAGTTTGTATAAAAACAACAATGTAAAGAAAACAAGCTTTATTAAGAAAGTATTGAAATTAGAAAGTGAAAAGTTTTACTGATATTTTTTGACTTGAATTGTTCAATTAATTAATCGATTGAGAAAAATAAATGCTTGAAATTACATACTACTTGTGTCTAAACTATATGCTAAGCCAGATACAAAAGCGAATGAGTTATAATGAGCTTGAATTGTAAGTATTGTTATTATTACTAGATAAGTCTTATTGTTCTGTTTTTTTTTATTCTATACAACAGACAGATTTTTTTCCAAATAAATGCACAGATTTACATCATAAACTTGTCCTTCAGTCTTTTGTTTTACAGTTCGCTTAAAACTTTTAGAAATAGTGATAAAGAACTGTAAAAATCTTCATGTTCTATTGTATTTAATCACTGAAAGAGAATAATCATTGATCAACCCTTATCTCATTTCGGAAATTTCACAGACAATCGGTCATCAGACCTTCTAAACTAGGATTCAAATGTATTGTATTAAGATCAAAACAAAACTTCACAAGATTGTTGATCGTGAATTTGGCTGATAATTTCATTTGACCGGATTAGGAGTTTAAGAGAAATGGAGTAGGCGGTTCTTTACCATAATCTCAAATAGTCTTGAGTTATGCAACTTCAAGAATAATTATAAGTTCTTATGTTAAGATTAACACTAAAGAGCTCGATCGCAAATTTTTATTGCAAGAAAATGTTCTCACCCGTGGTCCGGCTCAGTTGCTAATAGGAGTCCCGACCGTTGTTGCTACCTTGACGTGGTGGTCGGGCTTGCCTATCGTGATGAAGCAACCGAGCTATACTGGCTGGAACAACCGTTCCTCAAGGTCCTACCATGTCAGACAGGTCGGTTGAAGAGCGGTAAGACTAAAAGCAACAGACCCAAGGTCCGAAGGCGAAGTCGTACTGCTGACTGTACAGAGGTGTGACAGCAGTAAGGTGTTTCCTTCAGACAACCAGCATGACAGCGATGCTGCCTTCCCACAAGGAGGGGTGGGGTTAGAAAAGGTCGACCCTAAAAATGCACACCTCACCTTACCTCACGGATTTACGTCTCCGGCGGTAAGGCCCTTTGAAGAACGGAGCTAACACGTCGAAAACCTTCCACGAAAAGGCCGTGCGCGACCGGCCTCAAGCAGTTGTCCCTAGGGCACTGCGGTCACGCTCTCAGGTCACTGAGACCACCTCTAATCCAATTTCCTTTTCAGGTACCTCCAGAAGAACCCTTCCACGGTGTGGGCAACCGGGAAGTGATAACCGCCCTCATACCTCTAACAGCACCCAAGATCACTGTATTCATAGTCAACCTTCCTCTTCAATTCCTATTATTCCTCCTACATCGACTTTCAACCCTAAACTTCCTCCTTCGGCTTCCTCCTCAAGTGTCACCATAGCCAACGATTCTAGTGCTCAAAACTCTGTCCCAGGCCTACTGAAACCTCGCTCCAAACTACACATTGGAGCTTTCAACGTACGCACTCTATGTCAAATCGGTCAGCAGGCTTCCTTGGCTAAAACCCTAGAGTCTCTTTCCATTGATGTATGCTGTGTCTCTGAAACACGCATACAGGATCCCAGTGTGGTCATTCACTTGACCTCACCTCGGCAGAACGGAGAGCCAACGAGATACACCCTCCGTGTATCTGGTGACCCGATGGCCAGTTCTCGTGGACTGGCAGGTGTAGGCATAGCACTAAGCATGAGGGCGGAACAAGCACTGCTAGAGTGGATCCCCGTCAACAGTCGTCTATGTGCTGTTCGGCTGAACGGCTACGTAAGAACTCGGAAGGATAGGGACACACGTCGTTGCCTTTTTGTCGTTTCTGTCTACGCTCCCACTGACTGCAGCTCAGATGAAGTGAAAGATGAATTTTACAGAAAGCTTTCTGAACTTCTTCAGAAAGCTAAACGCTCAGACATAGTACTCGTAGCAGGTGATTTTAATGCTCAGATAGGTAGCTTAAACCAAACAGAAAGGCATTTAGGTGGATATTTTAGTATTCCGACACAGCGAACAGATAATGGTGATCGTCTGCTGCAGCTATGCTCAGACAATCGTTTATTTTTAGCAAACACAAATTTTAAGCATAAGGAGAGACATCGTCTAACATGGCGACCCCCTACACCAAACCAACGATGGACTCAAATAGACCATATTGCCATCAGTCATCGTTGGAGAGGGTCGGTAGAAGATTGTCGCTCATTCTGGAGTACCTGCTTGGACTCCGACCATACCCTAATACGGGCACGCGTCTGCTTGCGCCTCACTGGACGCAAAAAAGCCACATTAAAAAGACCCGTTAGAACTGAGTTGAGTAACGAGAAAACCAAAAGTAGGTTCCAGGAACAACTGAGGTCACACTTAGGTAGTTGTGAAGACGAGGCTGACCCAGATGTTGCTTGGAAGAGCATACAATCAGCTGTGGAAACAGCAGTGACATCTATTAGTGACTTAAACCACAGAGTTGCAAGGAACCAGTGGATTTCTTCAAGGTCTGTCACACTGATGGATTCTCGCAAACTCGTCCCATCAGGTTCTGAACGTGATGAAGAGCGAAAACAAATCAGATCTAGGTTAAGAAAAAGTCTAAGGAACGACCGTGAGCAGTGGTGGGTAACGAAAGCAAAAGAGATGGAAAAGGCGGCGACTATAGGGAACACAAGACAGCTTTACAGACTAATAAAAGAAACTGGAATTAATAAGTCAAGTGTAAGTGAGATTATATCGGAAAAAGACGATACACTCGTCTGCTCCCAGTCCAGACGTTTAGAACGATGGGCGGAACATTTTACAGAACAGTTCAGCTGGCCTTCAGCTACTCTACAACTACCCTCCATTTCCAGACAATGTGAATGGAACATTGAAGTAGGTCCCCCAACTCTTGCTGAAGTTCAAAAGGCTATAGTTAATCTGAAACGAGGAAGGGCAGCTGGTCCAGATGGATTGGCTCCAGAGGTCTTTAAGGATGGTGGTCCAATTTTAGCGATTAGGTTGACTAATATTTTAGCTAAGATCTGGGAATTAGACTTTATCCCATCTGACTGGTCGCAATCACTCATCGTCCCAATATATAAGAAAGGGTCAAAATCATCCTGTGACAACCACAGAGGGATTAGTTTAACAAACATAGTATCTAAAATACTGGCCTCGATAATTATCAGACGCCTAACTAAGACTCGTGAACTACAAACTCGAGAGAACCAAGCTGGCTTTAGACCTGGTCGTGGCTGCATCGACCACATATTCACCATTCGTCAGGTTCTAGAACACAGGCATACCTATCGGCGTCCGACAATGGTGGTCTTTCTCGACTTAAAAGCAGCGTTTGACTCTGTAGACCGCGAGACTCTGTGGCAGTGTCTGTCATTGAAAGGCGTACCTCAGAAGTACATAAACCTTGTGAAGGCTCTTTACTCGAACACCACTAGTCGAGTCAGGGCTTATGGCGAACTGTCATCTACTTTTGCAACTTCAAGTGGTGTCCGTCAAGGCTGTCCACTTTCTCCATTTCTGTTTAACTTCATCATAGACCTACTGATGGAAATAACATTCTCGTCTACTGAATTCTCGGGTATTGATCTCCTTCCAGGAGGTCCACTTATCGACTTAGAATACGCAGATGATATAGTCCTATTTGGTGAAGACGCTGACAAAATTCAGAGTCTTCTGGTAGCACTAAGCAACAATGCCAGAATGTTTGGGATGCGCTTCTCTCCCTCTAAATGCAAGTTGTTGCTTCAGGACTGGTCTGCGTCAACACCTGAACTAAGGATAGGGAGTGAAGTAGTCGAAAGCGTCGACAACTTCACTTATCTTGGAAGTCTGATCAGCCCTAATGGGTTGGTGTCTGACGAAATCTCAGCACGGATTCGAAAAGCTCGTTTGGCTTTTGCCAACTTACGTCACCTTTGGCGGAGGCGAGATATCTGTCTATCAATAAAAGGACGAGTATACTGCGCGGCAGTCCGTTCTGTTTTAATTTACGGCAGCGAAACATGGCCATTAAGAGTAGAAGACACTCGTAAGCTATCAGTATTTGACCACAGATGCCTTAGAAATATTGCTGGCATCTGCTGGGATCACCGGGTAAGTAATAGTGAGGTTAGACGCAGGGTATTAGGGAATGATGGTAAATCAGTTAATGAGGTTATGAATCTTCATCGACTGAGATGGTTGGGCCACGTATTACGTATGCCTGAACACCGATTACCACGACGTGCAATGCTAACCGGTGTAGGGGTTGGTTGGAAGAAAGTTAGGGGCGGCCAAACCAAAACGTGGCATCAGTGCTTGAAGTCACTAACTTCTAGTCTGAGCCATGTTGGTAGATGCAGACTACTTGGTTGGGGTCCGCATGACTATCGTAACCAATGGTTGGAGACTCTTGGTGACATGGCTCAGAATAGATCACAATGGCGTCAGTGTATACACTCCCTGTCTTCCCTTAAACTAAGAGATTAAATCACTTCATATCTTTCTTTCTACGAACTAATTCTTCCTTCCTATACTATATCCTTATTGCAACCTTTGACCTAACCACTCCTATGAATCCGGTGTTCATCTTGTTGTGCTAATGAGGTATGGCAACCTGGACCGATGCACATATGTGCCTGGTCCTACGTTGTAGCTGACTGACTGACTGCTAATAGGAGCCCCCTAACATCTGGATAAGTCGACTGTCAGAGGAATATGATTAAGAGTGTGGTAAATTGCATTTGTCGAACGAAAACACTAATAATGACCACTTATCCTTCTATCTAAAAGATTACATTGAGTGGTCTGGTAGGGCATCCGCATTTCCCAGCTTTGTCACTTGTTTTATCGAGGGAATATATATATATATATATATACTTTAAAGTGGTGCCAATCAGATATTTCCCACTGAATCTACAGGGGTGGTATTTCTAATCTGTGGTTACTTTATCCAACTTTCAATACGGTCAACATATTAGTAGATTCCATGATATAGTTATTATCAATTCTCTCGTCGTTAATCAATAAATCAAATGTATTAACATATATTTAACCGTAAAATACATGAGTTTTATCGTTAATGAATTGAAAGACACACTAGTTTAATATAACGAACCTAAATGAGAGTCCCGATTGTTCATACAAGACAGGTTGTCATTTGTGAATCCTGATAGTGATCAGCCTATTAACAATTTATTCACACTAAATTGAATTTATGGGTTTCAATACAGAGGAACTGATTATCAGAGAAGGCAATTTGTGTTGATTCAACAAAATTTATTTACATGATAATCAGGAAGTATAGAATAGTCAAAACAATTTTTCATAGTAAATTTAACTACTTAAATAGTAAAAAGAGTATAATTTCGTTTACTCAAATAGCGACAACTAACTAGAAATAAAATTTTCAAAATTAGAGGATTTTGAGAGAACATCAGCTTTGCAAAAGTTATACGGATAAGTACATGACTGCATGATGTATACTTGACATAAAATTTGAGGTGACAGCAAATAAGGCACACGAACAAATCATTAGGAGTGACAATGATAAATAAATCCACGCTATATTGAAACATCTAACTTTTTACTTCGTATGATAACAAAAAACTAACTCTACGTAAATTTGAAATTACAGCTAGGAGGTCTTCACTAAAAACAACAAAACTATATTAAGAGTAACTGCCGCAACTTTAGAAACCTCGAAAGTATAATGAGTGAAGGGAGTTGATTTGAAAAATATTTAGCACATTTCGAGCGATCCCATCACATAACACAGTACTTTTGAAACTTCCTTACATTGATATTCTAAGAAGATAAATACATTTGGTTAATAAGTCCCTGGCTTTATTTTAAGGACTAGTAAGTATTACAAGAGTAAGGTATACACTAACGATGAGAAAACCGTGAAGTTTTTGGTGATGGGGTAAAATTACTTATTAGAAACCGAATCGGATGAAACATACAGCAACGAAGTCATATAAACAATACAATTAGATACATATAAATAGAAGAAAATGTGAGACTAACCCGAGTGGTGATTTAAAGAACGATGGCTTATTGGCTCTAGAAATGATCACGTCAAATAATTCTTGCCAGTCGTTTCCAACCAAAAATTTCAAACCCCTATCTCTTTAGTTATGAATTATGAAAGTAGAATAAATTAATGAGTGAATAAAACAAATAAACGTAGATAGTTTAGGAAACAAACAACCATAAAGTAACATTCTAATACAGTATAAACATAGTAATAATAATAATAAAGTATTTTGATTATAAAAACAGGTTGGTGTACACCGCTATGGGCCAGATATTCAGTGTGGGAGTTTGTTTTATTATCCGACTGCTTGAACTGAAGCGGATGAAACGGGATAGGAACATGGCGAGGTGTTCGTTTACTGAATATGCTCCCATCAGGGTCTACAATTTAACGGATCAAACTTAATCTATAAGCTACAGTCGTCGTGTGATCTTTGGTGAATGAACGAATGTAATGTACCAATGAGAATCAAATTAACAAAAAGCCAAGTGAATATAATCATGTGGATAAGATAATTATTTATATTATTAGTTAAACATACTGTTTGTATGAAATTCCCTCTTTCAAGAAACAGGAAACACGTTGTTCAGTGCTAGTAAAATTATTACTCGTTCAGTGATAACGTTTCGAATTAATTGTGTTGTTAGTAATGATATCGAGATATTCAATAGTCTTACTAGAGAATATTTTTTTAATATACAATAAAGTGATTACTGGTATATTATGTCTTCAGAAACGTGATTTCTCTGCGAAAAATGTAATCAAGTTGTATTCCCCATGGAAAGAAACAACTGTTTGAGACGCTTACAGAAATATTCGATAAGAAATCATCGATGTTCACTAGTTACAAAACGAAAACTGAGGTTAGAGCTATAGATAATGGTTAGTATAAAATATTTAGTAATAGGAGACTTTTAGTGATGTTGTTTACACTGAATTAAATAATAAATTCCCCAAGGTTTTACTGACATTTTAAACGGAATTCTTAGCGCCCACTTCAAATAAAGTGAATTGTTGTTAAGCTATTCTCTACTGATAAACTTGTTTATAATGTATTACTTTCACAGGCTTCTTACCTTACTATGCGTCTTTGCATTCTCATAGCGTTTCACTAGGTTCACTTCTTACCATACGATTAGTTAACCTTGTAAGTATGCGTTAATAAATTCAATACATATTAATTAGTTAGTACGTTTTGAAAGCTGAAGATAGTAATGTTGATCAATGAAAGAATGACTGTTTATACAGATATTTTTAAATAATTTTCTTCGATTGGTTTTAAACGATGTAGACTTACATGTAAGCAGCTGAACTGTTTGAAATAACAAATAATTTCTTATTATTTTTTACTAAGCGATATAAAAACGTAGATAGTTCTGGTGCCTTCGCAATATACCTTTCTGTAAAGTTAAAATGAATCATATTCTCAATAGGTTGGATACACATGTTAAATTAAAACTTAGTTTTCTTAAAAGTAGGCATTATTCAAATATTAGTCTTTTAGTATGATGGAGATCTTTAACCAATTAATGGAATAATCAATGAAAGTTATGATACAATGAACGTCCCTATCTATTCTGAAGCTTCTCATTAGTACGTTACTTTTCACAGTTTGACGTCAACACTTATTGTTGTTAATGATATTGAAAAACATGTTAGAATTCATCAAGTACCATCTGAACCTAAGAACTTTTAAAAATTAAATTGCCATAAAAACAAAGCTTTTATATTCTATTTCAAAGGTAACCCATCAACAATGTACAAGTATAAACTTTATAAGTAAGTAAAAAACACAACTCCCTCAGTGTTCAGGTACTGCTGAAAACCAAAATGGATAGTGATCGATCAAACCTCTCAAAACAACGAAGTGGGATTAAAACTAGTATTGATAATTTATCGAACAAAAAATAAGACACACATGCTATCTAGAGATAGACTGTATTAAGTTACCTGGATCAGACATTACGGTTTGACCTAGAAGGCCAGATTTATGGACTCTTGCTACAGCTGTCTAAAAGATAAGTGTACATGGGATGAGAATTGTTAGTATTATCATGTTGACTTTAAATAAATAAACAGATATATAGGTATCATTACCAAGGTTTGACTTGATAATTTTGAATAAATTGAGCATTGGGTAGATTGTTATATATAAATAATATATTTGTAATATCCCAATGAATAGAATAGTTAGATTTCCTGATGTTTCGTGACTTAGTGTAAGCCACTTCTTCAGAGAATAAATAACCGAATCAAGAAAAAATTCTATTCATGTCAACACAGAACTGCATCTACAAATTAGGTTGTATCGATTGTGATGCTTTCTATATTGGAGAGTCATCTTGCGAAATCTTGACTAGAGCCAAAGAACATATTAGGTACACAAAAAAAACCTCCTAACAATCCCGGAGAACTGGATAAACTTCAAATTAAATCGGCAATAGCAGATCATGAGATTTTCAAAGACCATGAAATTAATTTCAAAAATATCAAAATATTACAAAGAAAGGAGAGTAGCTGAAGCGTTCCATATAATGCTTAATCCTACTGTTCTCAATAGAAAAGAAGGCCTTATAATTTGTTCTACTTGGACTATCTATCCTAGCCACCTAGTCTGATATTATTCACAATTCACATTATTATCTTACAAATAAAACTTTATTCTTTCTCACCATAAAGGTCACACAGTTTTCATCCTTACAATGCATACATACATAGACAAATTTACAAACATGCCGCCTATGAATTACAAACAAATAATGGATGTGAAAATAAGGTTAATGATGACAAACATAGAATAAAATAAATAAATAATGATAAAAATTAACAAAAAAATCGTTACTTAAGTTACAACTGGCCATGGAAGGGATAGGGGGGTTACGAATTTCTTCGGTACACATAAATTGGGGTTATATGTACGATTGACTTTCTATCGTCGACCAGCGATGTCTACCCAAACGAAGGATAAATTACCTGAGTTGGCCACCTCAATGTGCATTTGCAAATTCAGCTGCTCGTGTGGAGATAGCCATATCGGGCGTACTACCAGGCAACTTAACCAACGAATGAGTGAACATCTACCAGCTTGGTTTATAAAGGGCCGGATAAAAACATTCGCAGTTCTATCTTGGCATATCTTATTGATAGAGGTCATGCTGTAGATAAATCGAAATCGTTTCGAGTGATCTATCGTATACCTCCATCATTTCCCAACGAAGTTCGTTCCCACCGCCCACATATAGCTGAAGCCATAGGAATTCGTGCATATAATCCCAATTTATGTGTACCGAAGAAATTCGTAACCCCCCTACCCCTTCCATGGCCAGTTATAACTTAACTAACGATTTTTTGTTAATTTTTATTATTTATTTAATTCTATTTTTGACATCATTAACCTTATTTTCACATCCCTTATTTGCCTGTAATTTTCCACCTCCTTCCGTTTGTATTCTTTACTATCTAATTATTTCAGTCGGTCTTGAGTGCTGTTAGAGGTATGAGGGCGGTTATCACTTCTCGGTTGCCCATATCGTGGAGGGGTTCTTCTTGAGGTACCTGAAAAGTAAATTGGATTAGAGGTGATCTTAGTGACCTGAGAGCGTGACCGCAGTGCCCAAGGGACAACTGCTTGAGGTCGGTCACACACGACCTTTCTATGGGTAATTTTTGTGTTAGCTCCGTACTTCTCGAGACCGTACAGCCTGAGACGGATATCCATGGGATAATGCGGTGTGCATTTTTACGGTTGACCTTTTCTAACCCCACCCCTCCTTGTGGGAAGGCAGCATCGCTGTCATGCGGATTGTCTGAAGGAAACACCTTACTGCTGTCACACCTCTGTACAGTCAGCAGTACGACTTCGCCTTCGGACCATGAGTTTGTTGCCTTTAGTCATACCGCTCTTCAACCAACCTGTTTGACATGGTTAGGACCTTGAGGAACGGTTGTTCCAGCCAGTATAGCTCGGTTGCTTCATCACGATAGGCAGGCTCGACCACCACGTCCAGGCAGCAACAACGGTCGGGACCTAATTATTTACACATTTCTTATTACGTAATGATTTTAATGTTTTGTGATGGCTATTCCAAGTCTATTTACCCACGTTTGACCTTCTATTTCCAACGTTTAACTATTGTTTTTGATTGAGATCATGAACCGACTGATGTTAGAACACCATTGAAAACCCGGAAGCACTGGACGGCCGTCTCGTCCTGTTGTGGGACTCAGAAGTGCGCATCCACGATCCCGCTCGTGAGATTCGAACCCAGGGCCTTCAGTCTTGCGTGCGAACGCTTAACCTACTGAACCACTGAGCCAGCATCCAATGGTGTTAATGTCTAACCTCAAACAATCCACGAACTATTGATAAGACTACTGTTATCGTATTTTATTATTTTTACTACTATCAGTACACCTGTCTTCCTACTATCAACATGTATTTTTACTTATTATGTGTGGTGACCTGTTCTATTTCATTGATTATTGACCCAAATTGCTTTGATTGGTTTAACATTTTCGTATAAATATTCATGTATATTAGAGTACAGCCTGATGACGATTTAATTGAAAACAATTGTTCGCTTATATGTGTTGTTATAATGATTAATGTACACATCACTTGGAAGTTGAATATCTACGGAGCATGATATATAGGAGTAGCGATTCGACATACGTACGATAATAAAGAATTTAGACTATTTATTGAGAAGGATGTACGTCTGAAAAATCTTAGTACTTAATTACTATGCACAGACGAAGTGATGGTGAACATACCATAATAATGAGTTTTAAAACAGGATCAAATTAACAATGAATATAAAATATGACAGTATAACCGGAAAATGCTATATTCGTATATAAACGTAAATCAATAACATGTTGGAAATACTCTGTTAAAGACCTACAGTCAGTCACTGAATTAATTTATAAGTGGGTACTATGATTTTTATTCTATATATCACATGTTCAACGCATACTTTACAATAAAACCAAGAAATACTGACCTAATATTCGGTATATTTTTTCGCTGACCGGTATGTTTATCATATAGTGTCTGCAAATATTAATTGGAAAATGAGGCTTATATAATTTTATAGTGCTTTCGTGACGATTATAAGTGATAATAATAACAACAATACAATGAAACTTCTACATGCTACTAGATAATTGAAGAACACTTACAGAAACATCCTGATAAACATAAACAGGCTTATAATCTATTCCATGTCGATCAAAAAACTGTAAATGAGAAAAAAAATTATTTGGTTGATTGAAAGCAAAGTATTGTCAAAAAAGTCATTGTAGCAGTAAATAAATAGTAATAATTGAAAATCAAAGGATAATGAAAAACATTATACATGAAAATTATACTTGAAATAATAATCTCAGCGATTGAAATTTAAATATTTCCAACATTTCGTCCAGCAAACTGGTCTGAACTTCTTCAGGGTAATAATCAAAATCAAAATTATCAAATAAATGTATAGTGTTTAACAATCAAATCAAATCTTTATTGTGCTAATCCAATCATATTTGGATGTTAACTTTGGTAAATAGGATAACATGAGTTGGTTAAATGAGAATCATGTAAAAGGTTCACAATGTGAAAATGAATTAATTGTGCGTGTATTTGTAAGAGTGAGTTATTAATGATTTATATCATGTGTTAAATTTGCTTTTATATAAGGGAAAAATAAAAGTGCAAGTTGAAGAAGTCCAGACAAGTTTGCTGGACGAAACAATGAAATTATTTAAATTTTAATCGCTGAGATTATTTCAAATATAATTTCCACACATAATGACTTCTTCATAATTGGCGCGCAATTTTCTTCAAACTATTCGTTCTAATATTAACGAATATTCGTATAGATAATGAAAAACGTCCTCGTTTTTAGGTTTCGAGTAACTCAAAGTTCTTGTCTCAATTAAGATATCAACATATTATTTAATTAAATAAGTGTCTATTGTACAAGTCTTAATTCACTCGACTATCAATACTAATTTAGCTTATATCAATTAGTGGAGAAAATTATCCTTAAGAAAATGTAAAACAAAAATGTCAACGAAAATCTTGTTGACTAATTATAATTATGAGATGTGTGTTTTCATCAAGCTTCCATGACAACAGCAACTGAAAGATTTTTGTTTAGACAGTTTATTATAACATTTTAGTAAACATAAAAAATTTACTTAACAGATCAGAATTTTAGTTAAACTTAGTAATCTAGCAGAATAAATACATTAGGCCTTTGATCAATGCTGATTGTATTAAAATAATATTTGAAATGCTGAAAAACGAATAATCCTGTGTCTATTTTGAACAAAATTCCCTAATGATAAAAGTGAATTCAAGATTGTATTAACTACTGAGTCTTGTAATTGGTGCCGGAAACATAAAAGTGATTAGTTGAAAACTAGATAAGATTTTGATTTTACTCAAACTTCAACTTTCTAGTCAGATTTTATTCAGTGAACCGATTTTTTATTCCTGTTTTTATTTTATCTATTTCCTGTCAGAATTGATTCTAAGTTAATTCTAAGTTGTCATATATCATTCAAGTTGATGGGCTCTTGTCAGAAGTACTGTTTTTATTAGGTTAATTATTTTTCATTCCCAAGTAGTTCTGTCTATTCAGTTACTGTTGGAATGAATAATATGTACTTTATAAAACTGATAAGAGTTGACTATATTTTGCAAACGGAAAAAAAATCTACCCGAATGATTTTTGTTCTATCCAAGTCGATCAAGTGGTCAGATTCCGCCAAATCTAATGGTGTCTACTAAACGTTTTCGAGTTATCTAAGGTTTATATGGAATTAGGTTTTAGTCGTTCAAGCTCCCTTTTCATTCAAGTAGCTGGTTTAGAAGTTTGTACATTAATAGAAGAATCGCAGGATCTCACAGTTTAACATTTTTTAGTACCACACTAATGTTTGACTTTTGCTAACTTAAAACGTACAGCACAGTTTGAAAGGCAAAAATATTCATACGTTTTGGTGGTATGGGATCTTTCAGATATTCGCTAAAGATTCTTTACGGTATCACGGATACACTGAAGTAATCACTTATTCAGTCCGACCTTCATATGCAATTTTTCGTTCCTATTCTCAGTTATTTTATTTATAAAGTCCTTGAGATTATCATTTATTATCGTTGTAGTTACAATTAAATCTAACTAGGTCTTTTAATGCTTCAATTCTGCTATGAGTTGTTGAAATCTGCTAATCACAATCTTTGCAACTGTTACCGTCACTGACAGTGATTTGGTGACCTGTCTGTTGAGTATTTTTCGGAATCCGGGTTTTTGGGATAAATCAATTCGCAAATAATTATTGCGTTCTCTTTCGAATGAGCAGTCAATAAATCCTAGTTTGTGATCATCAGATTCCATATCTAGTGAACTTGATTCCATCTGGCATATTGTTAACATGATCAAAAAGTTTATCTAATCCATCTCGTTTTGTAATAAAAAATGTATTTTCAAAGTAACTTAACCAGATTTTAGGTGAAAAAGAACATTTTGAGATTACATTTGTTTCCGACGAGTCCATGATCAAGTCAGTGACAACTAGGGAAACTGAGAGTCTCACAGCTACACCTTCTGTTTCCCTGTAATCCCAAGGTTTTTATAATCTCAGAGAAAGCTAACGGGCAGTACAACTTTAAATCAGTGTCAGATTCTAATAAATAATAACCAAATCTTTATTATTAAGGAGATTAGTAAATAAGTATGAATCTTGACTGGTAAGAATAAATCAATGAATAGAAATTTATGTTAAAAACATACCACTAATACACAGTTTTGACCTTGAACTGGTTATTCTCTGTTTAACTATAGGTCATGAAATTGTACCTTTTTTACAAATATGACTAGTTTCCTCATTGAGTAATTTCGTTGCGTTCCTATTACTGTTTGGTATGTGTGCTTATTGTTCCCTGTTTTTAACTGACTACTATTTTAGGTCTTTGTACTAATGGTATTATCACCACCTTTAATTTGGTTTCTAGTAAAAAGTTTGGTAACAACGACCTGATAATATCAAGAAACACTTTGTAGTTCCCAAACATTGAAGCTTTTCCTTGACTGTTTCATCGTAAATAACTAGCTCAGACTAAACTGAAACAGAAAACTAGTAGTTTTTTCACCGATATCAGCTTATTTTGAAAGGTATTTTAAAACCAATAAACTTCTCTAAACGACTTCTTTATAAAACATAAACAAACTTATCGGCCAACTGATCCAGATACAAAATAGTAATTGGGACAAAAAATATAAATGGAGAGTGACAGTATTTTTAAGTAAAACAATGATAATTTTAAAAATTTGTAAGCGCTAAAAAATAGATTCTAATAATACGACTTACATCTATAATAGAACATAGAAGATTAATTTCCGGTAATCGGAAAAGATCCATCAACTGAATCATAATAGTGTCCTAAAATGTACAACAAAAACTTAAGTGGTAGTTACACATTTATTTAGTGACCAAGAGTTCTTGAAAAGTAAATCATAGGACATGTAGTTTGTAGTTTTTGTGAGTGGGTCCGGGAAGGCCATGAGTTTTATGATCACCATCATGAAATCCATATCCAACAGATGTGAGATAATCCTTTTGACGCGACCCATAGAACTTATTATTTATAGTCAAGAAGACTAAAATCTATGTACTGAACACCAAAATTGTTTATCACAAATTGAGTACAACGCACTGCAACGATAAATAACTTACCTTTGTGGGGATTTTTTTTATTTCTGAAGGTAGTGACGAGTACATAGAGTAATTAACACCCACGGAGACACTAGAGAATAAAACAATAAACTAAATAGTTTTGGGCCATACGACTGATTGTTTCAGACTAAAAGATAAGCGTCAACTTAAGTTCTGAATTTTATTGTCCCCCACTATCAAAAATAAATCAAATAGAGACTTTTATTCCAAGTCAGTCAGTCAGTCATAACCAAAGTACAAATGACTAGATGGATGAGAACAACAGTCGGTTTGAGAACCATTATTTATGGATCGAGGATCGTCTACTTTTGATAAGGAACCTGATGAAATGGATGAAGATGGGCTATACGAATAACGAGGTGATAAAGACAAACGATGATAATTGCGCTGCCGTATAGACCTTATTTTGCTATCTCGAAGGGTTTTTCTTCGACTCCGTTGAATATGAATGGAAACGTTTGAAAGATTTTCGAGACAACAGACCCTTCCATGGTTTTCAGAGTCAACTTTTCTTTCACTGGCATATCATTTCTGTTGGTTCGACGTTCATCCAGCACGTCTTGATAAGGCATCTCAACGGTCTTCTCAAGCTCCGAGGGGTGAAGTCAATTTAACTTTATTTGATTTCTCGCCTGAGCACCAAATGGCTCCGATAACGTCCAAACGAAAATAGTTCTTATGACATGAGGTTCACCTAGTTTGCCTGACTTTTGTTGTGAAATTCTATAAACCCCTAGTACATCACATCCTATCAGCAATCCAACACGTTCAGTCTTACATTTTTTCAGCTCTACATCTTTCAAATGACATAAGGACTGTAGTTGTTTGACATTAGGTTCTACACGTCTTGCATTAGACAAAACTGGCACTGCGTAAGCCCGTTCAACGTGCATGCAATAGTCGGATTCGCATGATCGTAAATCTAATCAGGTTACGGCCCGTCACCCACTATAGTGATTGATGGTAGCCAATCGAATGTGGACACCTTTGACCTCTAGCTCAAATTCGTTCACTAACTCTCGCAAGACGAGAGTTGAGTTTGAACCGCTGTTGAAGAAAGATAGAGTTTCTTTTGTTCGATTACCGTAACAAAGAATCACCGGAACTATTGCCAAAGCTGCTCTTGGCTCTTCTGATGCTACTGTCACTTTAGTCATAAGTCGATATCCTGAAACGTGATTAATACTAATATGTGCATCAGGTTGAGAAACATCACTAGTTACATATAACAATGTACGATGTCACCTGCCACATACTTCGATAGTACTTCCTCTTTGGATTTGATAACTTCTAGCCATATGCTTGACATTTAGACATAAGCGTTATGACCTTTGTCTCTGATTGTGTTCAATTTTCCAGTGTGCAACACTGGTAAGAGGAATGGAATTCATTACAGGTGGCACAGACTAGACTCTTATTCCGTTGCTTATTGTTAAGGGGAGAATACCACAAAAAAATACTATTCTTAGTGTTGAATAATGTTTGAATTAAAGTTCATTTAACTCGTTTATCCGATTTGCTACATCTGCTCGTTCTACCACGAACTTAGCTAAATTTACAGATTTAAGCTCTCCACCTTGTCACATACACTCTACGTTCATCTCTACCCACTTAGATCTAAGATTCGAAGAAAGACGTGAAACAGAAGTTCTGAACGCCATAACTCTATTCTGTCCTAGATCGGACAGATCCATAAAATCATGACTTTTAATTGGTGGTTAGCCTACTGTTTCGTCTATGAAGGACCTACTAACCATATAATTTTGTCCGAACCGTTTTCTTACAATATCTCTAGCTCCCGTAAATCATTTAGATCCGTCCATTATGAAACAATGTTCGATAGCCTTTTTAGCCCCCGAATGCCCTGGTACGGCCGAGAGTGGGGAGAGTCCGCTCTCCCTCTCGAAATACTCTCACACGGCCACGCGTATACAGCCTCTGCCAGGGAAGTCCTACTCATTGCCTTCTCGTGGCGGGGGTGTTGTTTACGAAAATGAGAGGACGAAAAGCGAATATCCGGCGCTTTAACCTGATTCCAAACCAATGGTGCACATAGGCTCCAGTATCCTGAAGGAACAAATGGCGTATGAACCAATTGTTGGTCACCGGCTTCCACGGGACTGCATCTCCTTACGATGCTCCACTGCCTTGTGGATCAGACCTTCAGGTCGAAGGCTCGGGGAGTAGCCTCCTAAGAAAACCACCTGCTTCTGTTCGGGCACCCAGGCAGTATCACAGCCCACACACAAATATGATGAACTGCCTATAATTATGGAAACTACTTTACTTGCTTCAACTAACAATCAAATTATTATTATTATTATTATTTTCCACATTATTCACCCTCTTTTATACTTATACAACGGCTCGTCTTTGGTGGAAATTCGACTGTATCTAAATGCTCTCGAGTCACTGTCCGGTTGAAAATTGTATGTTACCACCGAATATGAGTACTGAAGCAGTCTTTCTGAAACCACGTGCACCATTCAAACTGTCTGCCTTCAAAGTTCGCACATTTATGTAGGTCGGACAACAGATAGAGCTGACTATGTCTTTAGAAAGTCTTAATATTGATGTTTGTTGTCAATCCGGGACCCGTATTTAAGACTCTGGCGAAGTACTACAAATTCGATCTCCATCTGTCGCTTCGAAAAGCTTGATTTAGGTGCGCTTATCCGGGGACCCTGTGGCATCTTCGTCTGGTCTTGCTGGCGTTGGTGTCGCACTAAGCGCTAGAGCTGAGGCAGCACTAATCAACTGGATCTCCATTAACAGTCGGTTATGTGCTGTTAGATTAGAGTTCCATCAAAGTGAGAAGAAATCGGCGTGAGAAACGATGTCTTTTCGTCATCTCCGCCTATGTCCCGACAGATTGCAGCCCGGATGCAGTCAAGGATGAGTTTTACCACCAGTTATCTGTTCTTCTCCAGAAAGTGCGTTCGACAGATATTGTAGTACTAGCCGGAGACTTGAATGCTCAGGTCGGGCGTCTAGGCACAGAAGAGAGTCGTTTAGGTGGCCGATGGGGACTCGTTGGTCGCAGGTCAGATAACGGGGACCGTCTACTGCAACTTTGCACAGACCACAACCTGTTTCTCGCTAGCACTAACTTTCGGCACAGTCATCGCCGATGTGCCACCTGGCGTCCTCCATCTGCATCTCAAGCCCGGACTCAGATTGATCACATCGCGATCAGCTACCGCTGACGTGGTTGTGTACAAGACTGCCGCTCCTTTTGGAGTACCTATCTGAACTCTGACCATGCCTTGGTCTGCGCCAATCTTGCCTTACTTTTCAGTGGACAACGAAGTGACCGCCATCAACGGATTGATATTAACAAGCTGGTTGCAACTTCTGTTGCAAGTAAGTATCGAACCGAGCTAGCTTCTAGGCTAGCTACCACTCCACCGAAAAGTATAGATGAGCATTGGTTGCAATTGCATGACGCCATGAAAATGGCGGGTACAGTCAGTTGTGGGTTCGCGAAACGTCCCGCTTTTAAGCACTGGGTTTCTGCAGGTTCCTTACAACTCATTGAAGCCCGTCGGTCTACTCCGGGTGACAGTGAGTTTGACCATAGACGAAGGATGTTACGTAAGGAAATTGGGCAAAGCTTGCGTAAGGACCGAGAAGCCTGGTCGTCGAAGCGTGCTAATGAGCTGGAAGCAGCATCTGCATCTGGTAATTACCGGAAGCTCTTCCAACTCATCCGAGCCACTGACAGCAAGAAGTCTGGTGTGAGCGAAACAATCTGCAAGGATGATGGGATGCCAATCACTAACATCCATCGACGTCTTGGACGGTGGGCAGAATTTTTCGAAGGGCAGTTCAACTGGCCTGCTGCTCCGGCAACATCGGTCAGACTGTCCTTCCCTCCATGGCCGGTGATGACTGATCCACCAAATGAGACGGAAGTCCGCAAGGAACTCTAACTCTTGAAGCGTTACAAATCACCTGGCCCAGATGACTTACCTCCGGCTCTTTTTAAAGATGGTGGTGACTTTCTGACTAAGGAAATGACGACGTTGTTTACAAAGGTCTGGGAACTAGAGAGTGTACCAACGTCATGGAATGAGTCGATCGTTGTCCCTATCTTTAAAAGCGGTTCACGTCGTTCCTGTAACAACTATCGGGGGATAAGTCTACTTCCGATTGCGTCCAAGCTATTGGCTTCCGTCATACTTCGTAGGTTGTTCAAAACCCGAGAAAAATTGACTCGCGAGGAGCAGGCTGGGTTTCGTTCTGGTCGAGGATGTATTGATCATATCTTCACCCTCCGCCAAATGTTAGAACACCGCCATACTTTTCAAAGGCCAACGATCGTGGTGTTTCTTGACATCAGGGCTGCCTTCGACTCGTCGGACAGGACTGTTCTCTGGGACTGTCTATTGAAGAAGGGTGTGCCTGAGAAGTTTATTAACATCATAAAAGCCCTATATAAAAACACCTCAGGCAGACTGAAGGCATAAAACCACCTCTCTCCATTGTTCCATTCGAGCAGTGGGGTTAGACAGGGTAGCCCAATCTCACCATTCCTCTTCAACTTTGTCATCGATGACATTCTGGAAACAGCTCTGATAAATGTAAGTAATGGTGGTATGTATCTGTTGCCTGGACAAAGACTTCTCGACCTTGAGTATGCGGATGATATTGTCTGACTGTGCGATAATGCCCAAGGCATGCAATCCGCACTTAATCAGTTGGCAATCAGTGTCCGTAGGTATGGTATGTGCTTTGCACCTTCGAAGTGCAAAGTATTTCTACAAGACTGGCAGGATTCTAACCCTGTACTCACCCTGGATGGTGAGCAGATAGACGTAGTCGAGAAGTTCGTGTATCTGGGTAGCTGCATAAGTGCTGGTGGGGGTGTAAGTGATGAAATCAATGCACGTATAGTGAAAGCCAGAGCGGCTTATGCCAATCCGGGCCATCTTTGGCGCCTTCGTTATGTTAGTCTGGCTGTAAAACGTCGGATCTACAACGCGTCGGTGAGAGCAGTTTTGCTCTATGCTTGTGAAACCTGGTCTCTCCGAGTTGAGGACGTTAGACGACTCTCTGTGTTCGATCATCGCTGTCTCCGAAGGATTGCTGACATTCAGTGGCAACACCATGTCAATAATGCAGAGGTTCGGCATCGTGTGTTCGGGCACAGAGATGATAATTCAATTGGTGTCACCATCTTGAAACACCGACTTCGGTGGCTTGGACATGTTCTACGAATGTCGTCCCAAAGAATTCCACGTCGTGCATTATTTGCCGACTCTGGGACTGGTTGGAAGAGGCGGAGAGGTGGTCAGTGCATGACATGGTGTCTGGCATGAAAGAAAGCTGCAAAGGACTGGCTTCTGTCGGTCCTTCACGACTCCCTGGTTGGGGTCTGAGAGATGGTGCTACACAGTGGCTAGAGACGTTATCAGATATGGCCCAGAATATAAGCTAGTGGCTATCCTGCTGTAACCTTTTACTTTCTTCATAAAAAGTGGTTGTCTTCCTTACCTGAAAGATTTCTTCCGATTGTACCTTTCCGTTCCCTCATTACTACTACACTACCTTACACCAATCTCTTCGTTATTGTTCTCTTTTTTTTCTTGCGCTCTCTACATTTTTTCTCTCTGATTTCTCATTGTTTTGTGTGGCGCATATATATTGGCGCTCTCTTGTTCCAATATTTATGTGTTCAAATAAAAATAAAATGAAATTAGCTTGTCCGGTACAAAACTGAGTTAGATTGTTAAGCTGCTTAGAATCATCCTCCGTCGTTTGTTCAAAAACTTAGGAATTCCTTCAAAAAGGCGCAGTACTTCTGTAGATTGCCATCAAACTTCTGTACTTGTGGCCTAGGTAGCTCTAAATAACGTTCGAAATGACATGGAACTGCACTCGACATAGGTTGCTCATATTTTTTTATTAAACTATCGTCATAGGGATCAGGATTATTTCTTTTATGTTGTAGTTTCTTTAGCGCGATCCACGTTTCAAGTTTTATCCTTAGCGTGACTAATTCTACTTCCAATTACTTTAGATAAATGTTCGTATGATGTTCTGTATTGAAATCTTTCTGATACTGTATAGATAAGTCTGGTATTCTGAATTCCCTTCAGCTTTACTCGGAAATATATATATAACATATATACGTGACCAAGATAGCCTTCAAGTTGATCTGAAATACAGAACAAATGTCTATTAACCCAGATCGTAATACCATATCAGCATGATGAGATCAAATTGTCAGGATGAACACCAAAGTAGTGGTAGCAGTACCAATGTCAGTAAAAAAAGAAACAATTCGGGGAATAAAAGGCATAAAATAATTTCTAAACTTAAGAACTAAGAAAAGATAAAACGTAAATGATTCTGTGCCACTATAACTAATTTTGAGTCATGTCACCCAACGACTACAATCACTGGTTACGATAAAGCTGTGGACCTCAAACAGATAGTTTGCGTCTACCAACATGGTTCAGATCAATAGTTAACCTCTCTATAGATTGATGTTTCGTTTTAGTCTGGTCGCCTCTATCTTTCTTTGAAGCCATTATTGCTCAAGCAATGCTTTGTAAACAAAACAATCAAATAAATGTGGAGAGATAGCTTACTGGTCAAGGTGTTCGACTTTCAGTTATCAAGTCTCAGTTTTGAATCTCGCCCAACCTACTTCGGCCTGAGCAACCGGGTAAATCCATTAGCTCTTACACACAGTCTGAGGCTTATACCCAAGTACCTAGTGAGTTAATTTAAATTCGAATTTTAAGTAAAAAGTCAAATACTACTAACCTAAAGATGATTTCTACTTTTAAATACTGCGTTCCACAGCTCCAAAGTGAAACACAGAAAACTGTTAGTTGAAAAAAGGATAACTGTATAATTGTAATCTTGAGGGGAGCAGTGCTTCCCGGAGGATTTAATCCTGTGTCATTCATCCCTCCTGTGTGAGACGTTACCAATGAGTTATTTAAGCATTGATTGACCTCCTACAGGTATGGAATATTTACATTCAACTGATCCCTGAGTGGTGACCAATATTATGTTTGTCAAGTCCTTCAGTCCCAAATGAATTTACTCCCTAATATCAGTTTAGGCATTGATGCATACCAGTCTGAAAGCGAGATTTAGCCTTTAGAGGGGGAAGAAACAAACCTAAGATATACTTGCATTGTTGATCAAAGTGATCAGAAAACTTTGGATTTCATTAGACATTAACAAACAGAACTGTCATTTATATAGTCGAAGTCAATCGGTAGATTTCCTGATAGAATATTAATCTCTAGAAAGTTGTTTGAAGAACGTTTTGTCTCTAAGACAGTATCTAATAGGAAGTTTAAAAAAAATTTTTAATGACATATGATAAAGCTAGTAAATTTTAATGATATACTTCATAGATGAACAAAAAGCTTACATTAGGTGTAAATTTTTGTTTTAAAATATCACTAGATAAATGACTCCCACGATAAACTTTTAATATCTCATCCAATGACAGTAGTTTAAATCCACGATAAACAGTATCCAGTTGAATATGATGAAATGCATCTACTTTCATTAATAAGCCCTAGACATTAAAATAATAACCGTAAGAAAACAAAAGATCAATAAGTTGTCTGTAAAGAAATCCTACATATGGTTGCATATGATGAGCTTAAAAAAGCATCTGCAAAAAGACCTATAAATTTTTCGATACATAAAACCTTACCATACAGTTATTCTTTTTTGAAAGAGTGACCATCATAGAACCAATGTAATCAAAGCTGGATTATAGGTGTGAACTCCACCTAATCATTTGCATCACACTATATACTCAATGATACATTGACTACTCAATAGTACAGTTTCGATCGGAACATACTATTGCAGTGAAGTCAGCAGTACATAGATGGCAAAAGATAGTGCCTGATTTATTCCGTATTATGCCGTTTTAATAATTATGTATTGAATAAGTCCAGGAAATAACCTCAATACTATTCACTAAAAGCTGAACTGTTAGAGATTGCATTTATACGAAACTATTATTATCATTATTATTGATTGATCTGATCTCGTAATAGTTTCCTAAACCATAACACTATGCAAGAACTTTAGATAAGTTATTGATGAACCATAATTAAATCATGCAACCACATTCTCCCACAGGCTTTTCGATTTCAGTTGGTTTGCATACAGAACAACCAGAAATGAAACATCACTGGTTATTTTATGACCTTAATTCTTATATCTGATGACTCCGGTTATTATTTCATTGTCATGTGGTTTTTTACTGAATATACTATAAATAAACGACAGCTTCAAATCACCAACTCAATATTCAATCAGCATCCCAGAGACACCGCATTCTGAAGTCATTTGCTCAGGATTTGAGGATCGATCGTATGAGTTCTGGTAGTCACCATGGTAGTTGAAAGATTTAATAGTTCAACCATAAAGTTTCACTGTTACATTTCTGCCAATTAGGGTCATAGTACTGTCTTTTAATTGCTCCTCATCCTTTATATAGACAAAAAATTGTCTAGTGACAATCTGTGCATAAGATTGACATGCGATTAAAATAATAATAATAATAATAATAATAATAATAATAATAATAATAATAATAATAATAATGTATTTGATCTACTTGTATTGACCAGTAAACATTTATCATTAATTGCTAACTAAGACAAATCATTTGTGTCGTTGTCATTTTATAATAAACCTTTCCTAAATTAAATAATTTGGGGAAATTAATTTTATTAGTAATGAGGTGACATACTCGTTTTACATCAAAATGTAAACCACGTCTAGCGAACTCAGTATAATCATAGTTCAGAATTTCTTCAGGATACTTGTGTTTGTTGAAGATTGTGATTCGATGGAAATTTGAATGAGTGCAAAATAGTTTAAAAAAGAAGACCGATTACAAAATGAGAAATTATTTATATCTGAACTGGTAAAATTAAATAATAAATTCCGAAATTTTCAAAAATAATGCTGACTGACATAAAAACGACATTATACTTTAGTTTATTTACCGGTAATCAAAAATCAAAGATATTAAACGGTTCAACCGTATAACAACAAAGTAAACAGGTGGAACTATTCACATGTTGAGTCTCCTTATTTGCTCTAGTAATCTTGGACACCAATCCACTCGACTAATTTTCAAATCGAAACACGACTTGGACAGAACATAAATTTATTCCAAACGAAACGGCAATTCCCGTTCAGCAACAAAATGTCAGTGTATATACAAACATTACACTATAATATTCTTGTCATCTCGGTTCATCAATTGGCGCTGATCGGTTGAAAGTGGGCCAATCAGCGCGCTTCAACGTGATCCTGTTTAACACATGTCTTGAGTAAGCCTTTGTCCTGCTAACACGGTGGTATATAATAAAGTATAATTATTGCGTGACAGTTGGGAGCACTATACGAGTAGCTTAACTAAACTAGGTTAGGCAAGATTAGAGCATATCACACAAATGACTATGTATTTGGAACTTGAAACATTGAACAATAATTAATTACATATGGCATTATATGGATTATGCGTTCCATTTAGGGTTGGAAATGGACGGGACCGAAAAATATTTGAACAGAAAAGTAAGAACTCCATTTTTATTACATTGGTTTCGAATGACAAAAATATCTGAAAAATATAGAGAGAGAGAGAATTATTCAGTAGAACACTTGCACTTGTCCAAGTTACAGAACAATTAAATTGTCTTAACCGTTTTAGTTACATATTAATCAGCACTTCTAAACGAAATGAATTTATAATTCCTAAACCCTATACTAGATTTTGGCCTCAAGAAATTTAGTGGTAATATATACAGAATGAAATAAATTCCATTAATAGTCTATAGGTGGGACATGGGAAGTATCGCCATATATGGATACTTAGGAAATATTAGCAATATATAATAGGAATCGTAAGTCAAGAAGAATAGGCATCTGTCTTTTTACTTACCCTTACTTCATACAATACGAGCTTTTTTCTCAGATCTCATCTAATATATGTCTGAAGAGAATCGATAAAGCTTGAAAACTAGAAAAACTAACTCATGGATTCACATATCAATGTACCATTTAGTTACTGCTAGAGCACTAACAAAGATACAAACATCAAAGACTCTGATTATGATTTGCAGATTGATGAATTATTTTATTATTTATTTTAACACATAGATATTGGTACAAGGAGGCAGCAAATACATATGCGCCACACAAATCTTATTCGATATGTGTGAGGGCTGTGATACTGCCCGGGTGCCCGAACAGAAGCAGGTGGTTTTCTTAGGAGGCTACTCCCCGAGCCTTCGACCTGAAGGTCTGATCCACAAGGCAGTGGAGCATCGTAAGGAGATGCAGTCCCGTGGAAGCCGGTGACCAACAATTGGTTCATACGCCATTTGTTCCTTCAGGATACTGGAGCCTATGTGCACCATTGGTTTGGAATCAGGTTAAAGCGCCGGATATTTGCTTTTCGTCCTCTCATTTTCGTAAACAACACCCCCGCCACGAGAAGGCAATGAGTAGGACTTCCCTGGCAGAGGGAAGTCCTACTAACTTACGGGACGAAACGCATGTTCTGGATTCCACTGCTAGCAGCTATCCGATTGAACAGTTTTAAATAAGCTCCTGAAGGACTACTACCATTATTTTGTGTAACCTAACTAGTTAAGTATTGGTACAAAACACTTTGAAGAGATAAATTATATGTTAATTAACTTAGAAGTGTGTTTGTCAGATTTAGAGTCATCAACAAAGAGGTAAATAATATGAACTTTTGACTTGAGTTGTCTTGTCAAACTGATAACTACTCTCACTTTCTATAACTTTTGGTTGAAAGAGTCTTCGAAACGACATAATAGTACATAGATTTTAAAAAGTTGAGCATAAAGCATATTATCCCCAATTTCTTCCATTGATAAAACGGCTTGAAACTGAATCGAAATGAAATACAGCCCCCACTGACCTATAGAATGATGAAAACAGTTAATTTCAGAGACTGTTTTCACTATATGAGATGGATACTATTCCTCTGTAATTAGTTAAAATTACTAGCCAGATTGTTTATTCATTTATGTGCTGTGAGTGACCAGGATATATAGCAACTACACCGAGTTAAAGAAGTATCTTCTCACCTTTGCTGATATGAAAAAAAAATAGTTCATGGGTTTTAGTATCACAGTACCTACAGGAACTTCAAGTAAAATTGGTTTGTGAACAACACACAGTAAGACGTAAAAGATTGATATCACTGAACGTTAAGTAACATAATACAAGGTAGCATCTGAAAAAAAAAATAATTAAAAATTAGATTTCCTATTCCTTATGTATGCCCCTTTTGCTTAGGAATCCAAAAACTTATTTGAAGCTGCCAACTTGAAAAAAAAGTAAAATAGGAAATATATAAACATGTTTCATGAATTATTTTCAACAGTGTATTTCATAGTTTACATAATGACATATTTAACTGACCTTCATCTGTTCAACAAGCCAGTTACGAGATTCATTGAAAATAAATTCGTCCAATGCGGATGTATAGTGAGCCAATGTGTAATCATAATCAAACCCGTACACTTGAATTTTGCTCAACTTTACTTCATTATTTACAAATACATCCCGCGGATTAACTTGATCGAATGTGGTTATGTGTTCTAGGATTGTTAAATGAAACGAGTGAAGTCTCGGAAGAGGTGAAAAGTGATATGATGGAAAGTACGGATTCGATTCACAAGTTATAACAAAAAGAAGTATAGTATCAATAAACATACAATAAAACATTGATTTGATCTATTCACTCTTGGTCAAGGGGATAAGACGGATATGCAGAACAAAATGTGGGACAGTTTCAATGACCTTCCAACTATCTCCAAACAACCCGAATGGAGGAATTGACACAATTCCTACAAATCTCAGTGAGGATGAAAGGATTATAGTCAGTCTGAAGAAAGGGAGAGCATCAGACCCTGATGGATTAACAACAGATCTCTAAGTCTGGAGGTCTAGTTTTATAGACTAAGCTAACAGAAGACACTAGCTAGGATTTGGGAGCTAGACGAAATACCACTTAACTGGTTTCGATTGCTGATCGTTTCAGTTTATAGAAAGGGAAAAAATCCACTTGTGATGAAAACAAAAGAATCAACTCTAGTAACATAGTGCCTAAAATATTATTCAAATCGACCGTCTGACGCTCTACTAGGACTTGTGAAGAACAAACCAAAGGAAAGCCAGGCTTATTTCAGACCTGGGGATGGACGGACTGACCAGATGCTCAGTTTATCAGGTTTTGGAACATATGAACACCTATTGGCGCTCGACGACTGTATTTCTTGACCTTAAGACAGCAATCAAATCCGTTGACCGAGAGGTTTTGTAGCACTTTTTGTTATTTGAGGGCTTATCAAAAAAGTACATAAAACTTGTGAGGTCTCTCCTTTCAGACACTATTAGTCGAGTAAGAACTTATAACGAACTGTCCTCAGAATTGTTAGCCTTAAGTGGTGTTCGTCAGTGTTTCCCACTGAACCAACTTTTCTTCAATTACACCAACACTTTTCCACCCAACTTTTTGGAATTGATCTCCTACCCAGTTTATTCATCAGCTGAGAATATGCAGGTGAGATAGTCTTATCTAGTGAGGAGGATGACAATTTGCAGTCTTCTGATCACCCTGAAGAACAATGCTAGCATGACCAACTTGACAAATTTCAGGACATCTACATACTACACAGCAGTGTTAACCGTTGGTGACTACACAAATAGACGCTACATTCTGATCTGATAACCCTAAGAATTTTCATAATTCACTTGTTCAGTCAAAATAATTTCAAAGTTAGCCATAACTTGACAAACAAGACACGATAGATTTTACATATTTCTTGAATAGTAATTTCATTAAAACAGTGGTATGGAGCAAAATTACCATCAAATAATGTTACCTTAAGATTGAAGCTCATATCCACTAATACAACTCATGATATTACTGCTAAATGGAAAAAATTTGAAGCAAATATTTAGTGCTCAGAATAATACATGATGGCGAAAATTAAATTTAGTGCTTGTGAGGTTATGCAAATCATGAGCTAAACAGACGAAGCATTTTGTATATCAAAAATTCTTAGGGAAGTTGGACGTATTGCTTTTGTGCGCAGAGTTCGGACTTAGATTTGTGGATCACCAACGCCTCAGCAGTGCATAAGTTTTCTATCCATCCTCCCTTCAATCCAGTTCCTTTGATTGTGTAGATTACTTTGGAGCGATGTATCCAGAAATGACTGGGTGCTCCTGTGTTGAACTGGTGACTGAGTTGCATTCTCCTTCTAAAAGCTACGCCGGATACGTTTAGAAAGTGGTCGCTTTGTGGGGACAATCTAACCTGCTCCACAAGAGCAGGTAAATTTGTAGATGAACATCGATGTGGCCCAAAGCGGAAGTCTATCCTTAGCACATCCGTGAATGGTAGGCCGGCTTGAGAAGACAATACGGAGCTTAGCTTAAGTAAATGATTTTGTCGGGAAGAAATTTTTAGCTGAATTTTCTTTGTCCTTACAAACCTTTTGGTAATAAAATGTCAGTCATTATCAACATTCCATTGAAATAATCAAGCTTTTAGAGACCGCGAAGTTATAGTATTGAGGTTTCGTTGTCTCAAAAGACTACTATCTCAAATTTTGTTCAGACGAAGTTAGAAGATGAAACGCTACATGACTGATAAATTGTCGCACCACGTTAGAGGAATAAATACTGTATGACACAAACCAGAACAGTGTAAAATAAGTGATATAATATGGAAATCTGCCAAGTAAATATGCCTTTCACATGTTCGCCTATTCAGGAAATAGTTCAAGTAACTAAATTATTAATCAATGACAAACTGTCTAATCAGTACACATAGGGACGCGTATTATGGTGTTAGTTAAAAGTAAACTAACATATTACCTTCGCATTTCTTATTTAACAGAGCATAGTGCTGTTGCATTCTAGCCATTTCAACACCATTTGTAGAGTTATGTGAATTCCGGGAAATAAGGCTTTTGCTACATTCGGGAAGAACGATGAACCAATAGTAACCATTATTTCGACCGAATTTCCTGCAAACTGACATTAAAGATGTTTCACCACAGAAGAATTCTAGATATGACAAGCTTACCACTTAAGCACTGGTTGACCCACATGCACAAGACGCTCCTAAAATTTAAGAGCTTTATTAGGAACATTACATAATACAAGAGCTATTACGCAAAATATTATACTAATAACAGCTTTTCTACATGTTGAACTACAACCGCTTTGCTTAAAATGCCAATAGGCTTGATTTTGGTCACAAGAGGAGAGTTTAAGTTCGATAGACACTTCCATGAAACAAATGAAGTTCAACTGGTATAGGAATCAAAATGTCCTATTATAACCCTTAGAATTTTAGATGTATTCACCACATAGCCAATTTTTTCACTTACTACAAACTCATATTACCAAACCAACTAGCTTCCAAACAAAATATATTCAGCAAGACATGGTCAAACTCAATCTTGAGAGACATATGTTGTTAGGAAATACAGTACCGCGTATCATGAGTTATATCATTTTTTGGCGCTTCATGTATGGAATTTTGTGAATCAAATTCTTTCCCAAACTACTGTCACGGTTTTTAAATATTTGTAAGGTATTGAATTAACACAACCTAGCTCTTATTTCCAATAAGCTGAAGAGCAGGAAGTAGATAAGAAAAGCCAAAATACTACTAAATGTTTCTTCTTGTTATTCTCTGATTATGGCTGGTCAAGTGTCAAAGAATACTGGGCTGTTGATCAAAATGTCTCAGTAAGTCTTGTATGGATGAAGTAGTTTATGAATCCGCCTAGTCACAAGCACACAGAGAAACATTGGATGGCGCTGATCATTGAGGTGGGAACAGTATTCCTTATACGGAACACAAAAATAGAAAACATGAATTTCCTGAACAATCTGTTAGTGAAAACAGCCGTCCCAACCGTTTCAGTAACTGAAATCTGAATGATGTGTAACAAGGGAGCAAGAAATTCTGTATGCAACCAATTCATCCTCGTAAAATGATCAGGCGTTTTTGTGGTTAAGCTTTACAACCCGTAAGTTGGTGTGCATATACGCAGAAAATTAACTCATGGACCGGATTGACTTGAATATAGTTTTTGATATCACAACTAAATTCGATTGATCAGGTGACCTAAAATATTTTGATGAAACACTACAATACCTTTAAAGTTTTCATCGATTAGAGCTTCTTCAACTAGCAGAAACTTGAATGAGACCATAATTAATGGACGATATTTGAGAACAATTAAAGTGCACTTGGGGAAATTAAACCACTCAAGAGTAGTAATATGGACTTCATCACCAAGTTATTAATAAGTGCAAGAGATAAGGACTAGGAGTCCCAATCACAGCAAAACGTTTTCATCACTTTATTAGGAAAATAATGACTGAATAAATTTTACATCACTCTAAAACTAGCACCATTGGTTTTCGTCTAATGTCCTCGATTTAAAACATATCGGTGTTGAGAGAACAGCCCCAGGTCTACAGTTATGTTCATTTTTCTATTCCTAGACACTCGCACCAAGTGGTCTGAGTACATCCGAAAATTGAGTTGTTTTTCTCATATTTTGCATCAACAGGTCCTTATTTGTTTAAAATATGTTTGACACTGAAGTCCAAAACTTTGCTTAACCACTAAAAAGTACAGTTAACAAGACTACATAAAACCTAATGCCAACAATCACAGCGGTCTTAAAATTATAAGAACTCGAATATCTACAACGTCCTTGAGGTTGAAACGGTGTGGAGTCTTCAAATGGTTCAGCTCGACCACTTCAAACGATTGATATGGTTGAGGAAAGGAAAGAAGTTTTTATTCAACGGACTTCCATGTTTAGTAGCAAAGGAACAGTGACTCTGAAATTTCAGCACTTGTCTTTAAAATTTGTATTCGGATTGAGCTATTTAGCGTGGTCTCAGGGATGTTAAGGATGCTTATTCATTAGGTCACGTCTGAGATGCCTATACTCTGACAGGTTGATGTCCAGTGATTTGAGGTGTCCTTCACAATGTTTAAATGTTAGTCCCCGAAGTGATTTCGTGACTCACCTCTGGACACGTTCCAGTGTATTCTTATCCTTTTGAAGTTAGGAAGGAGACACTATATTTTCATAATTTAAGTAAAGCCGAATAAAACTATTAAAAAGTGGAAACTTGTACTGTCAAACTGACCAAAAATGCGCCTTGACGTGATCAGTGCAAGGTTTGATTGCAGGGCATTTTTGTCTCACAATGTTTAAATGTTAGTCCCCGAAGTGATTTCGTGACTCACCTCTGGACACGTTCCAGTGTATTCTTATCCTTTTAAAGTTAGAAAGGATAAAAGATCAGAGTCAGAAGACTGAAGAACATAATGGGCGGTCAAAAGAGAGCTGAATAAAGGTTAAAATACAAGACAGGTATAGGAAACAAATAAATAACTATACTGTTCAATGAAATGTTGTGGAGGGATTTTCAGTATTTTCTTTTGTTTACGTTGACCACCAAGCTTCATCTGGTTCCGTATAGGAACCTCTGGATTCATTCAACCATGGCTCTTCTAACTAACTATTGTATTTCAGTCGTAAGCACACAATTCACATTAGTACGTTTGCATAACCATAAATCTACTCACACATTCTGCAGTTATTCAGCTCTCTACAGAAGGCCAGGCTCTCTCATTTCCCCATACGCCTCCTTTCGCGGTAAGACTAATACACTACGTTCAACCGTATCTAATTCCTCAATTGTCAGACAGTCTACACTCAAAGACTTATCTTAGTGACGGAAGCACATGATGGTCATATAGACCACATATCTGTTAAGATATGCTACTGCTCCAACCAACTTTATTCAACTCGAGCACATAAAGGCGGTTCAGTTAAGCAAAAAACGGATGAACAAAAGCAATAATAGAAGATAGGCTTTGGCATCAAATAAAGCTAGTCAAATTTGTGTGCGATCCGAAAAGCTCGTTCTATAACGTAACCTCTCCTTGCCTGAACAAAATTGATTTTTGTTTAATAGTTGTTAGGTCCTATTGATCCAAACAACAACGACGCTGACACCGACCTTATGGTAGGACAATATTTTTTAGGCTTTCCAACCCTTACGTACAGACGAGATCACTTACAACTTAATTATACTCTCAGAAGTGAACCTGGACACTGGCTAAGAGAGAGGGTGGAGTTACTGACATTGATGGTGAGGGTGATGACCTCAGTCCACTAATCTTCTTGGGGCGGAACATTTTGTTTGTTTCAAAACATTTATGATAAAGGACTAGAAAATTAGTCAGTCGTACTAAGATTTTCGTCCTATGCCCTTCAATCAGAGTCATGTCTCCAATTTTTTGCTGGCTTCACCATTTTACCCAGAGAACCTGTAGCATGATAACTCGTTCTTTTACACTATGACCTAGAGGCTAGCACTAGATGGACAAAAGAGAGAAAAGAAGAAATGACAGATAATAAAAGGTATAAATATTAGCGTTTCTTGATAATTTACCCTCTTTCGATGTACTTTCAGTTTTGATGAACAACCTACTCGATTCTAAATTTAACTCTCTATCAGTTGAACTTATTTCACTTGTACTTGAGAAGCAATTTACCTGCGAATCAACTTTGTGAATTATTGATCATGCCTGAAAAAAGTGACATGTGCCTGCTCTGTCAGAAATATATTATTGTTATTATCAGAAACTGAAGCAATTAAACGAGGACACTCCTCTTACTCCGGATATGGTTCGTGCTGCCATACTGATATAACTGATCTAGATATTAGCAATATTGGCATTCCGTCAACCGACGCACTGTTCTGTAAAATTGGATGCTGGCTCACATTACACTAATTTTCAGAGAAAACCGACTCACTGAACCTTAAAGCTACCAAGCAGTAGTACTTCATTAAATATCCTCAAACGTTATGGAGTCTTTGATAAACGATGTTCTAAAAGACTAGTTGTTATCCATAAAACTTCTCTTCACACCAAAGACACGGGTTCGGGAAGAGTAAATCTTGTATAATCAAACTGTCGTCCTGCGTGGACAGGTGAACAGCCATCCTCGATCGTAAAAGTAAGGTTGACTCAATATAGATTGACTCCCAAATGCCATTGATAGGCTCAATAATATACGTCGCTCAAAATGTAAGATACTAAGTCACTGTTGGTAGACTAACTTACTTCATATCTAAATAATCAGCATTTTAGGGTACGCGTAAACTTAGATTATTCTCAGGCTATCAAATATCCTGGTTGGATCCTTCAGAGTCCAGCACTAAGACCTATTCAGTTATCAATTCACATAGTTGACCTCCTTCATTAAGTATAATCTGATTTATTGCTCTACTGACATTGTGGAACCTGATAGAGAAGTTTGTAACCACGATGACAAGCTGGTAGTTCAGAAGGATCTGACTTTACCCCACAGTCGGGGGGATAACAACAGACTTATTTTCAACACTCCAAAGTGTAAAGTAATCCGTGCGAAATATTCCGCAGCGTATGCATGCAAACTAGGTGACTCACCTCCGGAGGCGTCTCGAGTTGGAAAAGATCTGGTAGTCCTGGTACGCTATAATCTAAAGTTTTACTCTGAGACAAAAATGCCCTGCAATCAAACCTTGCACTGATCACGTCAAGGCGCATTTTTGGTCAGTTTGACAGTACAAGTTTCCACTTTTTAATAGTTTTATTCGGCTTTACTTAAATTATGAAAATATAGTGTCTCCTTCCTAACTTCAAAAGGATAAGAATACACTGGAACGTGTCCAGAGGTGAGTCACGAAATCACTTCGGGGACTAACATTTAAACATTGTGAAGGACACCTCAAATCACTGGACATCAACCTGTCAGAGTATAGGCATCTCAGACGTGACCTAATGAATAAGCATCCTTAACATCCCTGAGACCACGCTAAATAGCTCAATCCGAATACAAATTTTAGAGACAGCGCCCGAAAATTAAAGTCATAACTTGACAGAATGGATTGTAGGTTCATGTTTTTCCGTTATGATTTGTGGAATTCTGGAATTCGCTAACAACTGAGATT